GTGGGAGCACAGGCTGTGCAGCTGGTTCTGCCTGTGCTGTGGGCAAATCCCAGCTCCCTGCCTGGAGGCTGAGGATGTCCTCCCTGCCAGATGGGGGATGGGTGCTAGCAGTGTGGGGAGATGTGGGGGCCACACACCCCAAGTTAGGGACTCTGACCCTGCCTGTGCTCGATTGCAGCCAGTACTCCATGATGGATGACGAGGAGGAGCTGCCCCACCACGAGGAGCGGACGTGGTACGTGGGGAAGATCAACCGTGTGCAGGCAGAGGAGATGCTGTGTGGGAAACGGGACGGCACCTTCCTGATCCGTGAGAGCAGCCAGAAGGGGTGCTACGCCTGCTCCGTGGTGTGAGTATCCCCGTGCGGGTGGGGTGGGGTGGGATGGGATGGGATGGGATGGGATGGGATGGGATGGGATGGGATGGGATGGGATGGGATGGGATGGGATGGGATGGGATGGGATGGGATGGGATGGGATGGCCCACATTGTGTTCCTGCATTGCTCCACCCTCCCCTTGCCAGATGCTGGAGGTGACAGTTCCCATCTGCCTTGGCCTTTGGCAGGACCAAGTGTATCTCTATGGTGCTTTGGTGACCCTGCTTGTGCTCCCCTGTCCCACTGCTGACCCAGGCTCCCGTGTCTCCCTGGCAGGGTGGATGGTGACACCAAGCACTGCGTGATCTACAAGACAGCAACGGGCTATGGGTTTGCTGAACCCTACAACCTCTATGCCTCCCTCAAGGACCTGGTCTTGCACTACAAGCACACGTCCCTGGTGCAGCACAATGACTCCCTGAATGTCACGCTGGCTCACCCGGTCCTTTCCCAGCCACCAGCCAGATGAGCAGCCCATGCACAACACAACAGCTGCCTTCAGCTTCTCCCCAGGGCGCTGCTTTCTGGCTCTGGACTCTTGCACCCTGTATAGTTGAGTCTCTGTGCTCCTGCTCCTTCAGAGCCTCTGAGATGTCTGTGACCGTTTCTGATGTCCCTCTTGGTCAGTAGCTGAAACCCGTGTTGGCTGATGGGACAGAAAGGCTGGGCTGTAGATTCGCAGTGGGCTCCAGCCTCTAGGAGGTGGGATCCAGTTGTGATTGAATTGCTGGGGGTGAGCACAGCCCCCTCCCCTTCCCTGGTAAGCAGGTCAGATCCCCTTCTCGCTGGCAGGTCACCCCGCTACGCATCACTGTAGAGCTTTGGTTCTGGATTCCTCGGTGCTGTGACCGAGGGTTCCCTGCTGGACACCGAGGAGGCCGAGGAGGAGGAAGCTGCACTGGGTGTGTGCATCCTTCACTCTCGCTTCCCTCGGTGGCCTCGCAGGCTGTGATGGTGTCTGGTACGAGGGGTGCTGCTCTTGCATGCAGAGACACATTTGAGAAGGAGAAACCTCATCCTCAGTGGGGCTCCCTGGCCGAGATCTTCGCTCTGTGCTGTGCCCCACCTGGCCACCATTCCCTCTTGTCATAACCACCTCTGGAGTGTTGCTGCCTGGGCAGGGAGGATCTGCTTAGCCATGAATCTCCTGCTTTAGTTGTGCCAACGAAGCTGTGAAATCCGTGTTGGTACCCGTGTTTTTCCTGGCAGGATCTGCGGGATGCACAGCTCGTTGTTTCCGGCCGGTTTCGGTGACTCTGCACACGTAACCCATTGAAGCTGACTGTAGCTCTGTAAATATGGTTCTTTTTGTGATGACCAGCTGCTCCCCTGGTGCTGGTGTTTGCTGAGCCCCCAGTGCCACCCCCAGTGTGGGCAGCAGCTGCCAGGCTGCCACAGCCCCAGGCCCTGCAGCTGAAGCAGGAGAGGGCTGGAGTCCAGCGCACACTACAAGCCCTACCTGGAATGAAGGACCTCTCTGCTGCAGGAGGACGCATCTGTGGGGCCCAGGGCATGCTGAAATGTGTCTGCATGATGGTGAACTACATATGCAAAGCACTTACAATCGTGGGTACTGTATGGGGCCAGGGCAGGGCTGCCCAGCACAGCTGGCTGCTGCAGGCAGGGTGCTGTGTCTGAGCTCAGAGGGCCCCAGGGCAGCCCAGGTGGGCCTGGAAGAGCTTTAAAAGCTGAGCTGAGAGTTGAAGCCATGGTGGCATTTGCTTTCCTGGGTTATCTCAGCTGCCTGGCTGGAGGAGAGCATTCTTGAACCTCTTGATTTGCCAGAGTGGCTCGTTCCCTCTCGGAGGCTGCTCCTTGGGACAGGCAGGTGGACACCATGGACTTTGGCATTTCTGTTTCCTGTTGCAGCTTGGGTTCTGCCAGATCCATGGGGTGCTCTGTGCTCCTGCTGTGCCTGCATCCTGTCCTTGATGTGCCACCTGCGCTGGGGACCACACTGTCCCTTCCTGGCCAGCTCTGCTGCTTGCCTTGCTCTGGGCTTGTCCCAGATCCTTCTGGAGCTGCTGGAGCAAACATCCCATTCCTGTTGCTTGTGGCAGCTCTCCTCTGCTCAACTGTACAGCCCCGTCCCCTGCTCTGCATGTCCTTTCCAGGCCCTGGGCCCTGGTTTTTGGGTCTGGTTTGTCAGTGTTTGGTGCTCAGGTGCAGGCAGTGGGTCGGGGAGCTGTGGGGGCCCAGGAGAGGCTGTGGTTGGCTTCGGGGATCACTTGGGAAAAGCTGCCAGGGATGAGTCAGGGAATAGTTTGGCATGTGAGAGATGAGGACACGTGGGACTGGGGCAGGGAGGCTCAGTCCTCAGCTCTATCCAGAGGCCTCCTGGGGCCTGTGGAGTGGCCAGGGGGCTGCACCAACACTCCAAAGCTTTGTTAGTGTTCCACACCTTTTCAGCCTGGGGACTCTGCTGGTCCTGTGCTTGTCCACGTCCAGCACCTCCCCACATCACAGGACAGGGATGGGATGGGACAGGCAGATGGGATCCTCAGCCTCATCCCATGGGCTCCACGTTCCTCCACCACCACCACCCCTAAACATGAGCTTGGGGCCAGTTCTGCCTGGGGGTATTGCTCCCTGCTCATGCCAGGGCCTGCTGAGCATCTCAAAGAGTCTCAGCTTGAAGCTGTCACCTGTCAACACTCCCTTGGTGCTCACCTGGCTTTGCTGCCCAGGGAAATTCCAGCTTCACTTTATCCTGTGATTTTATAAATTTGGCTGAATTTCTGTTATTCTCCCCATGCTGTCCCTTCCTGCTGTCCAGCCACAGTCCAAGGGGGGTCAGAGTCACCCCTCTTGCAGCACTGCCTTCCCTGCCCGCTGGCGGCCTGTCCTTGACGGGGCACTGCTCACGTCCCGCGTACAACGAGGAGGAAGATGCCCTTCCCCAGGGCTGCCTTTCCCTGACGGTGCTTCTTCACTCAGCTCCTTGAACAGCAGTTTTCCCCTGCTCTCCCCGGGCTGAGCTTCCAGCCCGGAGCTCCCCCAACATAAGCTCGTTGTGATTTGTCCTTTGCTGCTTTGGCTCGTTCTGAACCCGGCCGTGTTTTGAGGCGCTGGGCTGTGCTTTGCTGCTTGTGAGGCCCACGTCCCCCAGCCGAGCCGCACACCCGTGGGTGCCACATGGCTGTTCCTGCTCCCCGGGGCTTGGCCCTGCTCTCGGGGGGCTCCAGGCTCCCCCCGTGGAACCCCCAAGGTGCCAGTGGAGGCTTTGTGCTCGGAGAGGACGTGGCGGCTGCGTGAGGTTTTAGTTTCTAGGTATATGCAATAAAGAATAACCTGCCCCCCGAGCTGTCCGTTACCAGCAGTAGTGCTCTCTGCTCTTTCTGTTGATGTTTACTAATGTAAACCCAGTATTTGTTACTGTAAGAGGATTTTTTTTTTTGTACGGTACTTCGAAAAAACCCACAAAAAAAAAAAAAAAAACCAAAAAAAAAAAGAAAGAAATAAACAGAGTTAATGAACCAGGCTGCTGGATTGCTGTGGGAGGTTGTGCGGGGGCAGGAGAGGGCAGTTCCTGGGCTGGGTGCAGGATGTGACCCACTCGCCAGGATTGTGCTCGCCGAGTTTGGAGTGGGGATGGTGGGGACGAGGGCTGAGAAGCGGCCGGGAACAGCGGCGACAAACGGGGCAAGGACGCGGTTCCTCCGCGCTCGGTCCTCGATGGAACTCGGGATGTCTTGGGCTGCCCCCGGAGCTGCCCCGGCACCCACAGCCAGCGGCGGCCGTGCGGGCACCGGCCCCGTTCCCTGCTCCGGGCTGGGTTTCGGTGCCGGTACCGGTCCCGTTCCCTGCTCCGGGCTGGGCTTCGGTACCGGCACCGGCACCGTTCCCTGCTCCGGGCTGGGCTTCGGTACCGGTACCGGCACCGGCACCGGCCCCGTTCCCTGCTCCGGGCTGGGCTTCGGTACCGGCACCGGCACCGGCCCCGTTCCCTGCTCCGGGCTGGGCTTCGGTACCGGTACCGGCACCGGCCCCGTTCCCTGCTCCGGGCTGGGTTTCAGTACCGGCACCGGCCCCGTTCCCTGCTCCGGGCTGGGCTTCGGTACCGGTACCGGCACCGGCCCCGTTCCCTGCTCCGGGCTGGGCTTCGGTACCGGTACCGGCACCGGCCCCGTTCCCTGCTCCGGGCTGGGCTTCGGCACCGGCACCGTTCCCTGCTCCGGGCTGGGCTTCGGCACCGGCACCGGCCCCGTTCCCTGCTCCGGGCTGGTTTCGGTGCCGGCCCCGTTCCCTGCTCCGGGCTGGGTTCGGTGCCGGTACCGGCCCCGTTTCCTGCTCCGGGCTGGGTTTCAGTGCCGGTACCGGCCCCATTCCCTGCTCCGGGCTGGGCTTCGGTACCGGCACCGGCCCCGTTCCCTGCTCCGGGCTGGGCTTCGGTACCAGCACCGGCCCCGTTCCCTGCTCCGGGCTGGGTTTCAGTGCCGGTACCGGCCCCGTTCCCTGCTCCGGGCTGGTTTCGGTGCCGGTCCCGCCGCAGCCCGCGGGACACCGGGCCGGGGCCGGGGCCGGGACCGGCGGCGTCACGGGAGGCGGCGGCAGGAAGGGCAGGACGGGCAGGCAGGCCGGGCAGGGAGGCGGGCACAGCCCAGCCTTAAAAGTCTCTGCTGGGCCGGGCTCATTTCCGCGTCGCCCCGGTGTCCCCATGGCCCCCGCGGTGCCGCCGGCCGTGCTGGCCCTGCTGGCCCTGCTGGCCCCGGCGCTGGGCTGTGACCGCCCTGCCCACCGCTGGTGCAGCTCGCGGGACGTCGCTGCCGCCTGCCAGGTCAGAGCCGAGCTGTGCCGGGGCTGGGGACAGCTGGGGACAAGGGCAGGATCACCCGGTGCGCGGGGACAGGGCTGGGGCGAGTGCCCGCTGCGAGTGCCAGCGGCTGTCACATCCAGAGAGCCTCCGCTGCCACACGGGCACTACGGCATTCCCCAGCATCCCTGGGGAACGCCTGTGGTCCAGCCGAACCGTGCCCGCAGTCCTTCCCCAGCTGCCGCTTCTGCTTTTTAAGTGTAAAACCGCTTTTCGGCTTATTCTGCCCCAAACAAACCCGGTGACAGCGCCCTGTGGGCCCCATGGGACTGCAGCTTCCCCCTGGCACTGGGTGCTGGGCCATACCCCCACCCAGGCATGTCCTGGTCTAAATTTGTTTTTCCCTGAAATGTTTTGGGGAAGTTCTGGTGGAAAGCCCCAGCGCTGGGTGCTGGCCACGCACAGGATGCAGCAGCAAGCTCCTGGCTACTCTCACTTCCCTCTAGCCCTGAACACCCTCATCCCGGAGCTTTGCCCCATCCCTAGAGATACAGGGACGGGAGGGTTGCAGCCACACCCCACCGTGCACCCCAAAACCTCCCCGTGTGCAGGTGGAGAGCCGCTGCCCCAGCCTCCCTCACCCCGCGGCCGCGCCCGTGGAGCTGAGCCTGTACTACGAGAGCCTGTGCCCGGCCTGCCGCGAGTTCCTGGTGCTGAAGCTCTTCCCCACCTGGCTGCTGCTGCCCGAAGAGATGCTGAACATCACCCTGGTGCCCTACGGCAACGCCCAGGTAGGACCCGGCCCTCCCGGCGCTCGCCCCGGTGCTGCCAGCGCCGCTCAGACCGGTCGGTCCCGCAGGAGAGGAACGTCAGCGGGAAGTTGGACTTCCAGTGCCAGCACGGCCCCGAGGAATGCTTGGGCAACATGATGGAGGTGACGGTCCCCGTTCCCACGGTGCTGGCACGGGGGGTTCCAGCGGCCCCTCACCGCCCGCCCTGTCCCCGCAGGCCTGTCTGATGCACGAGGCCAAGAACTTCAGCACCTACTTCCCCGTCATCTTCTGCCTGGAGGCGGGCAGCTCCGTCACCAAGAACCTGGAGGCTGTATGTCCCCTTCCCTGCCCCTCAGCGCCCCACATGGGGACACCCCTGTCCCCTGACCGCCCCTGTGCCCGGCAGTGCCTGCAGATCTACGCCCCAGAGGTGGACAGCGGCCGCATCAGCGCCTGCGTGCAGGGGGACACGGGGGTGGCCCTGATGCACCACAACGCCCAAGTGACCGAGGCGCTGCACCCCCCGCACCAGTACGTGCCCTGGATCACCGTCAATGGGGTATGGCAGGGGGGCACTGGGTGCCAGGCGGGGCTGGGACACCCTGGGGACCCCCTGACACCCGTGTCCCCCCACAGAAGCACACGGACGAGCTGCAGGCACAGGCAGAGGCCTCGCTGCTGGGGCTGGTTTGCCAGCTCTACCAGGTGGGACAAGGCTCTGTGGGGACAGCAGGGCTTGGGGACACGTCCCCATCCCTGCTAGGGCTCTCATGGCTGCTCTCTGGCAGGGGGAGAAGCCTGAAGTCTGTGGGGGCTCCAAGGCCACGAAGATCCCGTCTGGCTGCAGGCGCTGAGGGACGTTGTGGGAGCAGAGGCAGAGAGGTCAATAAAAAGGATATTTTTATGGAAAAGCACCAGGATCCGGAGTGGTGTGGTAGGGGAGCAGGGAGGGGGTGATTTTTGCCCTGCCACAGTGGGAAGGGGAAAGGGGCACTGACCTCCAGACCTGGGAATTACCTGCTCCAGAGGTTCCCAAAGAATCCCCTTGAAGATTCCAGGGAACTCTGCTGAGCAGCAGAACATTTCCTCTCTCCAAGTCTTGGGAAGCAGCTCCAGTATCCATCTTTCTTCTAAGGACAGCATTAAACTCAACCATTTCAGGAGCACTGGGGCCAAGACCATCCCAGTCCCCACCAGTTCTTCTCCATTCCCAGCAGCAGGTTTAGGATGGCATCTTTCCTGGTGGCTCCCTGAGCACTCGTGACAAGCAATTCTCAGGAATTTCCCAGACCTGCTTGCCCCAGAAGAGGCCATTCCCAGCTGGGGTGTGGAGGATGAATTTTACCACAAGGACAAGGAATTCCCGATCCAGCGAATTCTCCTCACTACCTGTAGAACAACTCAGTGCCAGGGTCCTGGCTGGGTGGTGGGCACCAGAACCCACACTTGCTTTGCTTTCCATCCCCCTCATCCTCATCCCAGAGGCTCCTGACTGCAGGGACTGCCCTCAAAGCTCTCCTCTCACGAGGTGTGACCCCATCCTCCACTCCAGCCCTGCAGGACGGGACTCATCCCTCCACATCCCAGCTCTGGGCACAGACCACGGGCACTTGCACTGGCAGACTCCTGTGGCCTCCCTTAACCCTTTCCCAGAGGAGCTGGGGAGGCTTTGGGAACAGGGGGATACAGGAGGACCCCACGTTCAATCCTGAGAGATGCCAGAGAGCCTTGAGCAGACAAGAGCCAGGAGGAACCACGGCCCTGCCACCACAGCCATCACTCTTGTCTCTCTCAGGCTCAGCCAACGTGGCCCACCTGTCCTGGGCACCCCTCAGTGCCCCCAACACCCCAAGGGCAGCAAGGGAGGCAGCTGCAGGCAGGCAGGGACCCTCTTTCCATTGTCTGGCTGCACCTCAGGCAGCAGCAAGACCTGGAAAGATGAGGTGAAAAAAAAAACAATTAAAAAAAAAAACCAGCATCAACCAGAGAGTGCCTGGAAACTTAATCTCTCTTTATTGTCCATTTCTCATCCAAAACCTGGACCCCAAACCCAGCTCTGGCCCTGAGCAAGCACAGTCTCACTGGCATGAGCACAGCACAGCCCCTGCTGCTGCTCAGCGTCTGCCTCGAGCATCGTCCTTGCCCCAAAACTTCTGTCCCCTGGATCAGCTGCACTGCCACTGCCCACAGCTCGCAGGACCAGAGAAAAGTCTTCCACTCGAAAGAAGAAGGGAAAAGAAAGACAATTACAAGCCCTAACCCTGAATCTGAACAAATCTCAGTGCCGGAGGACGAGCTCTTCTCTCCCGAAGCTGCTGCCGAAGCCCTGGGTGCCCTCGGGGCCGCGGGGCAGGCGCAGGACCCCGTCCCACAGCCCGAGGGGCTCGGACACCCACTGGGCATCGCTGGGGGCAGCTTTGGGACAGAGGCCAGCGCTGCCCCAGGGTGTCCAGGAGCCCGCGGCGCTCCCCGGGCGGCTCTCGGTGCCCATCCCCAGCGGAGGGAAGCCCTTGCCGGGGAGCAGCGAGGTGGGAAAAGCGCTGGAATCTTCCGGCGGGAAGTCGCCGCCAGGCCAGGCCGGTGCCAGCAGGTCCTGGTTCAGGAGGAGGGACAGCGACCCCGAGGCAGCACCGGGCTGGGGAGCGCCGCTGGGCAGGGCATCCCCCGGGCTGCGGGCGAAGGGCCGAGCCGGCGCTGGCACCTTCCAGGCCGGCCGCTCCTGCCCGGGTTTCTTCTTGCCGCCCTTGCCGCAGAGCCGCACCACCCTGAGGCTGTGCCAGTCGCGGTGCCCGAGGCTCTCGGCGGCGCTGCGGGCGCTCTCCAGGCTCTCGTACTCCACCAGGGCACAGCAGCGGCTCAGCAGCTCGGGGAAGCGCGAGGAGTACCTGCGCACGTCCGAGGGCAGCTTGCGGCCCGGCCGCAGCAGGCGGATGGAGGCGATGGGCCCGAAGGGGCTGAACATCCCAGTGATGGTGTCCAGGAAGTTCTTCTGCACGGGCAGGTCCTGCTCCCGCGGCTGCAGCTCCCAGGCCAGCAGCAGCTTGCTGGGGGGGACGCTCAGCAGGTCCTCGGGGATGGGGAGGCGCCGCCGGACTTTGGTGCCCTCCTTGTTCACCTCCAGCAGCGCCGAGAACTTGAGGGCGTAGAGGGTGAGGCGCCAGTCCCGGGTCAGGTATTTCACCTGTGCAGAGAGGGAGGAACCCCCATCACTCGGCATCCCCCACCCTAAACTTCTGCATTATAAATAAATTAGAAATTTATTATATATAATAAATATATATTATATATAATATATATATTATATATATTATATATAATATATATATTATATTATATATAATGAATATAATATTATATATAATAAATACATGTGTTATATATTATATATAATATATATTTATTATATATTATATATATTATATAATATATATTATATATATTATATTATATATATAATAATATAATTATAATTATATAATATATAAAATATAATTATATATAATATATTATATATAATAAATATATAATATATAATATATATTATATATGTTATATATTATATATAATAAATATATAATAAATATAATTATATATAATAAATATTATATATTATATATAATAAATATATATTATATATAATATAATATTTATTAGAAATAAGTATTATACCCTTGATAGCTCAGCTACCTCAGGTGGCATAAAAGCAGCAGGATGGCTCCTGTGACAGTGTTGGAAACAAAAAGTTTTAATAAAAGGCAAAAATAAAAAAGCTCTTTACAGAGAAAAACCGAGTCAGGACAAGACGTATTTGCTGCTGCTAAACTACTTCACAAAAGCGATTTACTTCTTTTGTTCTCTTCTTTTCGAGGGAATTGCTCAGGCAGGACTTTTTGGCTCCTGTCCAAGTGGTTATCTTTAAGTTTGAGGTGAAGTCCCCAAGGTCCTATGAGGTGTCTTTTAACCAAATTGAGGAGAGAAACTTCTGGGCTTTTTTCCTTTTTTAGGGGACAAAGGGTAACTCGTTTACTCCGCCAACAAGGGGCACATTCCTACACTAAACCCCATCTCCAACACCCCCCAGGGCAATATTCCCCCTCTGCTGAGCAGCTTTGGGATCTGCACACTCCCGGTGTCCCCAGGCTCTGGCAAGGAGCCACATCCTCCCCATAAACCACAGCACCAGCACTTCCCTGGGGTTTTGGTGAAGGGATGATGGTTCCAGAGCAGTCCATGGTAGAGGAGGTGAAGTGAGGAGCTTTCCCTGCTGCCCTGGGCAGCGAGCAGAGCCCAGCCCTGCAGCACCAGCACACAGCCCGGAGGAGGCACCCACCTTCTTGAAGGAGGTCAGCAGCTTGATGCTGACAAAGCCCATCTTGTTCTTCTGCACGTGCTTGAGGAGGAAGGCGTCCTTGGCCAGGTTCTCGTCGGACAGGTAGAACTCCACCTGGGCCACGATCCTGCGCACCAGCTGCGGGTCGGGGCCCGAGCGGGAGCGCTCCAGCAGGGCCACCCCCAGCTCGCAGGAGCTGCTGGCACAGCGTGGGGACACAGGGCTCGGTCAGCTGCTGGCCTGGGACAGCCACCAGCCTCAGAGGCTGCCAGCAGAGCCAGGCTGCACCAAACACCTCCCAGAGCCAGGGGACACATGGACACATCCCTCGGGACAAACGTGCAGGGGCAGGGCTCAGCCCATTATGGACAAAACAGCCTGGCTGGGACACTTGGCTCTGACATTGAAAAGTTAATTAGCTAATTGCCCCCGGGAATCACCTACCCCCAGCCACACTGCCATTCTAGGACTGGGATGCAAAATAGGGAGACCAGTGGAATGGTGGGAGGGGGTTTTGGGGATGAAAACACCCCTAAATGGGGGCTGGGCACAGAGGAGGGGGCTGGATGGGTGCGCTGGTTGGGGAAAAGGGAACCACATCCCCGGTCTGTGTCTGACCTGTCACCACAGCCTGCAGGGGACCAGACTGGGCTGTGGGAAGCAGGAATAAAGGAACAACAATTCCTGGTGTTAGCAGGAGGGAAGGAGAGGGGACAGCTGCTGCTGGACTGCAGCAGGATAGCAGAGGAGGAGAGGAGGAAGAGGAGAGGAGGGAGAGAGGATGATCTGCTGGGACTTCAGCTACAGACTGCACATCTCTTCACCTCCAGCTACCAGTGTGCCACGGAGACTCCAGGGACAGACTCTGCACCCTCCTCCCCCCTGGAAAAAGCTCCAACAGTGGGGGTGAGCTCCGTGTTGAGCTCCCTGCCCAGCTGATCTTTTTAATAAAGAGCTGAACATTAATAAAGGCATAGCCCAGCTCATTTCAAGCCGTCCCACGTACCCGCTGTAGCTCTCCACGATGTCCTCCTGGCCCAGCAGGGCGAGGGAGCAGCTCCAGGGCGGAGGGAGAGGCTGTGCCAGGAGGGAATTCCTTGGGGCTGGCACTGGGGGGCCGCAGCTGGGCTGGGAATTGCGCCCCAAGGGCGCTCCAGAGCCGAGTGAGGACATTGCCTGTGCCTGGGATGTGACACACAAGGACAGAGCTGGGACACCCCAGCCCTGGGCTGCAGCCCCCAAAGCCGGCCCAGGGCAGGGGCACTGGAGGAAGTGATGGTTGTGTCCTTACCTGCTTGGGAGCACTGGAAGGGAGGAAATTCTAAGCTCCAGCAGTATATCCCAAACACCCTGAGGCAGCAACTCCCAAATGCCCCTCAGCTCCCAAAACACAAAGGTAAAAAAAAAAAAAAAAAAAAGAAGGAAAGAAAAAAAAAAATAAAAGAAAAAAAAAAGGAAAAAAAAGGGGGGAAAAAATAAAAGGAAAGAGAGAGAAAGCCCCTGAGCTGAGGGGGGTGTGGGTTTATAAACACGCCCTGAAGGAGCTGCAGGGGTGGCTGTGGACCTGCCCCCACACTGCCGGCTCCAGGTGAAACCTGTTTGTGGTTAAACTGCCCCAGCTGAGCCCTGGGACCAGTCAGGCTCCTCCTGCCTCATCTGCCAGGAGTCCCAAAGTCAGGGCTGGCAGTCACACGTGGTGCAGAGAAGTGGGGAAATCCTTTCCCTCCCTCCTCCAGGCCTCCAAAGCCCAAATGATGCTCAACCAGCCCAAACCCCAAACCTACCAGCTCAGGAAGATGCTCCAGCAGCTCTCTCCTTGTGCCAGGCACTCCTGGCCGTCCCAGAGCAGCAGCACCCCCAGGCTGGTGGCACTGCAGTGTCCCCTCCCCTCGGGCACTCCCTGGGCTGTGCCACCCTGCCCAGATCCCAGGTTGCCCTCTGGGATGAGCCCCAGGGACTGGCAATGTCCAACTGCTTCGGGAATGTTGTGGCCCTGATTTCCCCGGGCTTGGTGCCACCTCCCCTTCTCCTGCCACCTCCTGGTGCTCCCTGTGTTGGAAGAGGTGGGAGATGAAATCCTGGGATGCTTGTGCTGAAATCTCTGCAGGATTTGCCCATCTGGGGCGGGTGATGGAGCCAGAGCAGGCTGAGGATGGGGTGTGTGTGTAGGTGCTCACAGGAGGATTTTGAGCTGTGTTTGCTTTGTGGTTAGAGGCAGATTTTCTCAGGGTCAGGAGGTGCTGCCCAGCTCCCCCGGGGGAAATAATCTCCTGCTTCCAGAGCTGAGATTCCCAAAGGAAGAGGCTCTGTCTGGGCCTAATCCAGAGGGAGAGTGAAGCAAAGGCAGAGAGGCTGAACCTTCCTGAGGGGTCAGAGCAGGAATGGCCCAGCACTGGTCACATCCCTCCCATCCTCACTGCTTCCATCCTCTCCATTAGTCTGGAAGCTTAATTAGAAAATCCTCCTGTGGCCCTGTGCTCAGTCTGATCCTTCAGCCTCTCCTCCCCTCTGGGTTATCTGACACACCAGCTGCTCTCCAGGGGGATCTGCCTTGCTGCAGACCCCAAACTGCTTTAATCCCCCTGCCCTGGGCAGCTCCTGCATCCCCCCGAGGCTGCTGCAGCATCTCCTGGCACCTCTCAGGGATCACAGGAGAAATCAGGGATCACAGAAAGGCACCACGACACTCCTTGTGCAGGCCTGAGCATTGGATACACATTTATTGCTGTTCAGCTTTAGCTGGGAATTGTGTGGAGGGGGTTTGGGTGCTGCTCCAGCCTCCTCACACGCTGCTGCAGAGCTCCAGAGCATCTCCTTTGCACGCTGGCTTCCCTTGGAGGAAGAGCTGAACTTCCTCTGGCCCTCAGTGGGAGCAGGGCAGTCAAGATTTGGTTGCTCATTTGTTTTTTTAGACTCTCTTATCTCATCAGCAGGATCCCAAGTGTGGACTCTGACCTGGGGGGTTTTCATGGTTATGTACATTTAAATCTGAGTCTCTCCTGCCACTTCCATGTGAGACATTTACAGACAAACCACCCTGGCACAGCAGCACAGAGGGAAGACGTGCCACTGCACACACTCATTTCACTTGCCATTAGGAACGTGTTTGAAAGTGCCACAGCACTTTTGTGCCACTGGGAACGAGAAAATCAGAGATTTGGGTAGAATACACTCTGCTAGGCAAATGCACACGAGACCCCTGGAAAAGCTCACACCAAACACGGCATCATTAGAAACCATAAAAATAAAAGCTATTTATGACACGGCCTTTATTCACAGAGACATTTGCCCCAGGGCTTTGTTTTGCAGTCTAGCTGGATGACAGATCCCCCCTCTCCTCTGCCCTGCAGCCCACAGCACCCCAGTGCAGCCCAGAGCATCCCAGGGCAATCCATGTCAGCACAGACCCCACAGGACATGGGGAGGGGGAAAAACCCTGCAGAGCCCCCCCAGCTCAGCCCCAGGGGAGCCAAAGGATGCAGAGAGGGAGTGCTGACCCCTGTGGGGTCTGTGCCAGCCCACCCAGAGCTGGGGAAATGGGAACAAGGCCCACCCTAAGGCACTGTGGTCACACCCTCGCCCTGCTCCAGCCCCTCCAGAGCAGGACGTGGGGTGGGAATTTCACAAACCCCAACGTAATGAACAAAAAAACCTTCCTGGTTCCCATGGCAATACTGGGACACTGCTGGCTTGAGCTAAGTACTGATAGTGAAATGTTAATTAGCTAATTGCTCTGTTTGTTTTTTCTAAACCTGGGGATCACCTACATCCCCCCAGCCACACTGCCATTCTAGGACTGGGATGCAAATAGACCTGTGGAATGGTGGGAGGGGGTTTTGGGGATGAAAACACCCCTAAATGGGGGGCTGGGCACAGCGGAGGGGGCTGGATGGGTGTGCTGGTTGGGGAAAAGGGAACCCCATCCTCAGTCTGTGTCTGACCTGTCACCAGAGCCTGCAGGGGACCGGACTGGGCTGTGGGAATAAAGGGGCAGCCGTTCCTGGTGTTAGCAGGAGGAAAGGAGAGGGCACAGCAGGCTGCACACCTCTGCACCCTTGGGCTACCAGTGTGCCACGAGGGAAAAAGAGGGGACAGTTGCTGATCTGTTTGGGACTTCAGCTACAATCTGGACACCTCTTCACCCTTCAGTGTGCCACAAAGACTTCAGGGACAAACACCCCTTCTCCCCCCTGGAAAAAGCTCCAACAGCAGGGGTGGGCTCCGTGTTGAGCCCCCTGCCCAGCTGATCTTTTAATAAAGAGCTGAACATTAATAAAGGCAAAAGCCCGGTTCATTTCACCCAGGATGTGGGACCAGTTCCCATCTGCCTGGGCATCGTGGAGGATGGGGATTGCCACGGGATTGCCACGGGATAATCACAGGATTGCCATGGGATTGCCCCCAGGCATCACGGCACTGGGAACACAAACAGCTCTGCCTCCAGCTGCCACTGCCTCGAGTCCTTTGGTATCTTGAGTTGGCCTGATGGCATCCCAGGAGCATTGGGGTGAAGTGCCAAGCTGGGGAGACGTGGAAGCAGGTGGGAATGCCCATCCCATAGTCCCAGAGCACGGCTGTGCCCGCCGGGATGTGCAGCCTGGAGCCTCTCCCCAGGGGGACAGGGGACACAACTGCCCTGAGCTCCCCGGGGCAAGGGATTTGGCAAAGCCAGAGCCAGGAAAAGCTCCTCTGGAAAGGCTGCAGGAGAAGGGCCGGGTATTTTTCCTTCTTCTTGGGCACTGATTGGTTCAAGTTTGTATCACAGTGAAGTCTGAGACGTGGGGAAGGAACCCAAAGCACCTTCCCTGCCAAAGCCTCGCTCAGGCTGGAGAGCCAGGCCAGCTCCTCCAGCCAAGCACATCCCACCCGTGCTGACCACAGAGCCTTCCATCCCTTGGGAGCAGACTCTGGAGCTTCTCCCTCCACTCTGGAGGGGCACTGGCAGCCAAACCGGCTCAGCCCATCCTCAAACACGAGTAAACATAAAGAGAAACTAAGAGGCACTATAATAACGCAGCTCCGGGAGGCGCAGCCGGGGCAGCCCCGCCTGGCTCGGGGCAGTCCCGCTGTCAGATGTCCTGCAGGGAGTGGCCGGGCTCGCTGCGCTCCCGTTTCACCAGCGGCTCCCCCAGCGCCCGCTCCGGCTCCACCTCCGTGCCCAGCTCGCCGATGTCATCTGCAAAGGACACGGCTCAGAGCAGGGCACGGGGCTGCAAGAGGCAGCACGAGGTTCCCTCCCCATCCCACAGCCATCCCATCCCACCCCATCCCATCCCACAGCCATCCCATCCCATCCCACAGCCATCCCATCCCATCCCATCCCATCCCATCCCATCCCATCCCATCCCATCCCATCCCATCCCATCCCATCCCATCCCATCCCATCCCATCCCATCCCATCCCATCCCATCCCATCCCATCCCATCCCATCCCATCCCATCCCATCCCATCCCATCCCATCCCCATTCCCGGGGGTACCTTTGTCCAGCAGAGTCGGGGACAGGGATGTGAGGTCACCAAACTGAAAGAAAAAGGAGTTAAGGGGTCAGTGAGGCTTTGGGGTGTCAGACAATTCCAACCACCCAGGAGAGACTGTGAGTACCAGTGCTGGTAGTGGAGAGCACAAATTAAACCAACCACAGGGTTTGGGGGAAAAGCCTTCTGTTGCCATTTAAACCTCTGGCACACACCACACACAGCAATCCAGGGCAGGATTTAGCTCTGGAATGGGAATTTTTCCACCTCCCAGGTGATGACCAAGTGTTGCTACAGGCAAAAGTGGTGCCTTTTCTCCAGCCCTTTCCACCTCTCAGGCATTTCCCCTGTCCTGGACTCCACCTTCACCTCTCTGCAAAGCCTCTGCAGTGATGGCAGAGCGAGTTTGACCAGCCAGGCCGTGGTGCCAAGTGGAACCAGAGAGCTCCTTGGCTCTGGAGATGTGGTGTCCCTCTCAATGGTGAGGTCTGAGACACCAAACTGCTGCAACAACAATGCTGAAAGGTCATGGAAAGCTGGGCAGGAGCAGGAGCTGAGGAACTGCAAAGTTCAGTGGGAGTGGAAGGACATTTCATCCTTCTTTGCTGGGAAGAATCAGCCTCCTCCTGGAGAACAGGAATATTGCAAGGGTTTAACGAAGGAAAAGCCTGAGGGATGAGAGCCTCCCACAGCTGGGCTTTGCTGGGTGTGGGAGTCCAGGGCTTCCCTCTGGCTGCCCTGGCAGGTCTGGGACCCTGGCAGGGGTCAGGAACCCCCCTGGACAGAGCCCCCAGAGACACTGTCTGTGATCTCTGTCCATGGAAAAGAGTTTTCAATCTTACAGGATGAATTACAAGCTCTGAGTGTTTGATATGAGTAATAATTAAGTGTGGCACGGGTGCAAAAGTAAAATTTTAGGATTCTAGATTAGGGGTCCAAAGGGGACAAGATGGAGGAAATTGGGTGTGTCTTGTCCTTTTTCTCCTTCTTCATGCCCTCCATGTTTCACTGTGGTGTTGGCATTTTTCTGTTGGTTCAGGCTGGGGACACACTGTCCAACGTAGGTGACAGATATTGGCACGTTATTGTAAATCCAGCACAGGTAGTTTGTGGTATTTAATGTTTGTAACATCCCACTGAGGGCAGAGCCCCACACGCTGCCCTGCAGGACAGAGCTGCGGCAGGGCAGCAGAACATGTTAGAGATAAACAGAATAAACAACCTTGAAACAGCACAGACCAATTATGGCTTCTGCTTTGGCAGTGGGGCTGACAGACAGAGACTTTCTACAATCCTGGAATCATCAATACCTCAGATTCCGACAGCTGAGAGCCAGTCTCTGCCTTTCAGGTTCCTTTAATATCACTGAAGGTGGAGGTTTTGCAGGGAATAGTGGGAGCTGAGCACTGCAGCTGGAGCAGTGTTGAGGGGGAGGGAAGGCAGAACCAACAGCCTTTGGTTTGCCTGGATGCTGCATGAGCTCTGTGGAAGCTTCAAGGAGCAAATGAGATCAGTTCTGAGCACGTGGGCTCAGTTTTAAACTCACAGTAGTTTCAGCATTGCTGTCACAAGTTCATCTGGGGCTTTTAACTCTGTATTTCAGAGGGAAAAACTGGATGTGGCTCCAGCTAGGCAGGACAGGACCTGCCTGCAAGCCAGGCACCAGACTTGCTGTGAAAGAAAAAAACCCCAAACCCTCACAAACAGCCCAAACAGCCCCATCATCCTCTTCTTCACCTCAGAAATGGAGGGAGTGGCTGACTGTGCATGTAATTCTGGAGTTTGTAGAGGCTTGGAGAAATTCAGTTTCTGAAAGCAACTTTTGGGCCATTTTTGCTTGGTTGAGCTGGACTTTGCCCTGTCAGGAGTCCCAAAGTCAGGGCTGGCAGTCACACGTGGTGCAGAGAAGTGGGGAAATCCTTTCCCTCCCTCCTCCAGGCCTCCAGAGCCCAAATGATGCTCAACCAGCCCAAACCCCAAACCCACCAGTGTGGCAAGCACATTTCTCTCCCTATCAGGATTTTTCATAGAGGTGCACAGAGAGAGATGAAAGAGAAAACAATTTCTATTTCTGCTCCTTGTTTTTCCTACGTGGAATGTGTTTGGAGAATTGTTTACCTGGGGTGATTGCTTGGTTGGATTCTGGTGAGGATTGTTTGAGCCTGATGGCCAATCCAACCCACCTGGGGCTGGACTCTCAGAGAGGGTCACCAGTTGTGTTAGAGTCAGAGAAAGCAGTATGTAGTTTTAGTATCCTCCTTTTATATAGTATATTAATGTATTTTAGCATAGTTATAATAAAGAAATAATTCAGCCTTCTGAATTGAGTCAGACATCGTCATTTCTTCCCATTGGGTTCACCTGCATTTACAATACACCAGCTCAGGGAAGATGCTCCAGCAGCTCTCTCCTTGTGCCAAAAAACTTAATAAATAATTTTTGTTGCAAAACAAGCAGAGGGCGCGGTGCGGTTTGTGAACCAGCGGTGTCTTTTGAGGAGCTGCTTCTTTTGGGTTGGTTTGTAGGGAATGAAGGAGTCTCACCTCTCCCATGACAGCAATTGGGGTCTCCCCTGTGGCCTGGGCCACTCGATGCTCCACCAGGTAGAACATGTACTCGTCGTAGAGCAGGCGGATCAGGTGGAAGGAGCCAAAGCTGGCGGCGCTGCGCAGGGTGAGGTCACGGATCACCATGGAGCTGGGAATTGGGCAGGAATCAGAAATTTGGGTTGAGTTTTACACCTGTGCTATGGCTGATGTGAATTCTGGACCTTGGTGGGACTGTGGGACTCAGTGCTGTCTCTGCCTCTGACCCAAAAGTAACAAAACACTTTAAAGAAATTAATTTATGAGGCATCCTGTCCCCATCCTGAAAGGATTCCAGAACCACAGTAAAGCAGAGTTTCATGGGAGTAAAGAACTTGGCCTTGGCTTTTCAAGGATCTCTTTATGTGCCTCAAGGAGCTCTTTCTCATGCAGAAATACCCCCAAAAGGAGAAAGAAAATGTACCTGTAGAAGGACCACTTCAACAGGAACTGCCTGGCTGCCTTGGGGAAGCTGGGGCTGCCCTCGTGGTGCTTCAGCACTTGAGTGACCACATTGTCCAGCCAGCTGGCCCACTGGTCCAGAGAGCTCTGCTGCTGCAGAGTCAGCTTGAAATCCTGCTCCAGCTTCTGTACCATGCCCTCCTCACACTGGCACACCCACGAGGCCTGCTCCTGCTCAGAGGAAGGGTTCATGGTTACTCATGCCCTGCTCCTGCTTGGAAGAAAAGCTCACAGTTATTCAAGCCAGGCCTGCATGCTGTTGTATCCCAACCCAGGAGTTATTTTCCAGCAGGAAAGTGCCGCAAACCAGCTCTGAATCATGGCCCCTCTGATCTGTCTGAACCACAGCATTTTTAGAACTCCATAATTGTTGGTAGCACTTGATTCTTTGCTGGAGAAGTGGTAAAGAATTGGAATGGGGTGCCCAGGGAAGTGGTGGAGTCACCACCCCTGGAAGTGTTCAGAAAATGAGTTGTTGGGGACATGGTTTAGTGGGCATGGTGGGGTTCAGCTGAAGGTTGGACTGGATGGTATTGGAGGCTTTTTCCAGCTTTAATGATCTGTGAATCTTACAGAAGCTCCTTTTCCACAGTGAGGTGCAAAATTCACTTGGAAAAGCAACACCAAACCCATCACCTTGTTCACAGAATCACTGGGTTGGAAGAAACCTCCAAGATCATCGAGTCCAACCCAGTCTGAACACCTCAACTGAACCCTGGCACCCAGAGCCACATCCAGGCTTTGTTAAACACATCCAGGGGTGGTGACTCCACCACCTCCCTGACCATTCCACAACTTTACCACCCTTTCTTTATTAGTTCTTTCTTTATTTCTATATTTTCTTTATTTCTATATTTCACCCTTTCTGTCTTTATTTCTATATTAAAGGAACCTGAAAGGCAGAGACTGGCTCCCAGCAAAGCCCAGCTGTGGGAGGCTCTCATCCCTCAGGCTTTTCCTTCATTAAACCCTTGCAATATTCCTGTTCTCCAGGAGGAGGCTGATTCTTCCCAGCAAAGAAGGATGAAGTGTCCTTCCACTCCCACTGAACTTTGCAGTTCCTCAAAGAAAAAAACTTCTTCCGAATATCCAACCTATATTTCCCTTGGGGCAGCTTGAGGCTGTGTCCTCTGGTTCTGCCAGTTCCTGGAGGAAGAGCCCAACCCCACCTGAGCACAGCCACCTTTCAGGGAGCTGTGGAGAGTGCTGAGGTCACCCCTGAGTATTTTCTTCCCCAGCTGATTCAGGCGGGTTGCAGCAGTGGGGATTGAGCAGGGCTAGCAGCAGAGGGGCTGGCTGTGGGGCCCAGCCACGGGGCAGGTGAGGAGCAGCCAGCCCGTGGGTTACCTGCACGTTGGCGAAGTCCACGCGGTTGAGGTCGCTGAGCATCTGGTTGATCTGGGACGTGTTCTGCAGCACGGCGCGCGCCGCCTGCGCCAGGTGGTTCAGGGACGTGTACCTGCGCAGGGTCTGGGCAAAGGCACTCACCACCCCCACCTGCAACACAGCACAGGGGCTGCAGGGCATGCTCTGCTGCCTGCCCAGCCCTGCACGCACCAGCACGGGCAGTGCTGCGGTCACCAGCCACGGAAGGGCTCCAAAAACCTGTGGGCATGGCTTGGGGACACGGTTCAGTGGTGGTCTGGGCAGTGCTGGGACTCAAATCATCCTAAAGGTCATCTCCAACCTCATCCTTGTGCCAGGTACAACTTGGTCAGTCCTTAGGTACAGGTGGTTGTAAAACATGTTGAGGGCACAGTGTGGTTTGTGAACCAATGGTTTCTCTTTAGGTGCTGCTCAGTTTGGGTTGGTTTGTAGGGAATAAAGCAGTCACCAGACATGGAAGGGCTCAAAAAACGTGTGGGCACGGCTTGGGGACACGGTTTAGTGGTGGTCTGTGCAGTGCTGGGACACAAATCATCTTAAAGGTCATTTCCAACCTCATCCTTGTGCCAGGTACTTGGAACAACTCCATCAGTCCTTAGGCACAGGTGGTTGTAAAACATGTTGAGGGCACAGTGTGGTTTGTGAACCAATGGTGTCTCTTTAGGTGCTGCTCAGTTTGGGTTGGTTTGTAGGGAATAAAGGATTCTGACCTCGCCCATCACATCTCCTTGGCTGCCTGGGCCACACAATGCTCCACCAGGTAGAACTGCACTGGAAGGACCCAAACCTAAATCATTCTGTGATTCCATTATTTATTCTCTTTAAGCTACCAGGTTTTCACACTCTGCCTCCAGTAGTGACCAGTAAGGTGGGAAGAGGCAGCAAGAATCCCTGGCTTTAGGAGAGGAGGAGCCTTGGGGCAATGCCACTCACTCCTGTGCTTTCCAGGAGGACAGCCTCATTCCAGGGCAGGGATAACAGGGAATGGTCCTGGCCCCGAGGCTGCCAGAGCTCCAGGAGCTCTCAGGGATGCTCAGGGTGGGGTTGTTGGGGTGTCTGTGCAGGGCCAGGGGTTTGTGATGATCCCTGAGGGTCCCTTCCAGCTCAGGATAGAGCTCTGGCTCTATGATCTTCTGCCATAAATCTTTACCTGCAATTTCAGGACACAGGAAAGGCTCCATGAGTTGTCTGATCACTCAAAATCTATTCATGAAGGCATACAACAATTGGAGCTTCTGGCACAAAGGAACTGCCCCACTGTCCTCCCACTCCTGGATGATTCTGCTTCACACTCAACCATTGCACTGTGCCAGGGGAAAAAACCCCAGCAGGAATTTCTGCAAGATGCAGACACACACTGGGCCCATCTCTGCTCACCTTGGTCTGCACGACCTGGGGGGGGAATTCACTCATGGCATTCATCAGCCACCCTTCCAAGCTCTTGGCAAAGTTCCGGATCGCCTGGGTCAGCGTGCCTGCAAAGTCAGAACGGCCTGGCTGTGACATTTTGGCATTTTTGGCTGCCATTTGCTAGCTTAGGACTGCTGGGAAAGCTGAGATGGCAACGCAGCATCAAGGAAATCAGCTGGGTTGATGCACCCAAATTATTCTTTCATGTCATTACTCAAACTATTATTATTATTCTTTTTCTTTTGCATTTCTCTTTTTCATTTTTTCTTATTCTTACTCTTATCCTTATCTTACTCTTATCCTTATGACAATTAGACTTTATGATCTTAGAGATCTTTTTCTTTTTTATTATTATTTTTTCTTTTTTCTTATTTTTCTTTTTTATTTATTCTTATTCTTATTCTTATTCTTATTCTTATTCTTATTCTTATTCTTATTCTTATTCTTATTCTTATTCTTACTCTTACTCTTACTCTTACTCTTATTCTATCTTATTCTTATTCTTATTTTTATTCTTATTCTTATTCGTACTCTTAGTCTTATCTTCCTCTTATCCTTATGACAATTGGACTTAATGTTCCCAGAGGTATTTTCCAACCTAAACATTTCTATGTTTTTTTAATTATTTTTATTTTCTTTTGTTCTTTTCTTGTTCATGGCCCTTCTGATCATTTTTCAAGCATTGAAATTCACTCTTCAAAGACACCCTTGTGCCCCAGCTTGTGACAGCCTTCAGAGGGACATTTGGGAATCCAAATCAGAGAGAAAATCCTCAATACCCCATTATTAATCTCCCAAAAGGCTGACTCCTAATTTCCAGGAGTGCAGTCAGGGACAGGATGGTCCTGTGCAAAGACCTTCAAGGAGGCACATCCCAAAAAGTTCCCATATCCAAACTCCAGGCCAAAATCAGGAGATGTGATATGCAACACACCAAATTTAAAAGGGAGAGGATTTCCCAGGGGGTACAAAATATCCCCCCAGAGCAATGCTGCAGGAGGAACACTGCTGTTGCCTTTTTATTTTAGCCAGAACGCCTCCAAGTGGGTTTTTACAGTGGAAATCTTTGTGGCAAGTGGTAGCCAGAGTGAGAACAGACTCAGCTGGGGCTGGGGGTACTCACTGGGCACTGGCCTGAGCACGTCAGGGATGAGGATCTCCACCAGGGCCTGGTACAAGATGTGGTCACAGCTCCTCATCCACTTGAGGATGGGCTCGTACTTGCACAGGGTGATCAGTTTGTCCTTTGGGAGCGTCCCTTCGGGTTCCTCTTCACTGCAGGAGGAGGAGGAAGGAGACAGAGTTAGCAGCAGGTTTGCCTTCAGTGCTTTCCCCCTCCCTCTGCATTGCTAACTCCAGTTTTCAGCAGAAAAAACCATGTTGGTGTGCCTTGCAAAAGGAAATGTTTGACTGCTCATACAGGTCTTGTCTCTGCCAGCATCTCCCTGTCCTTGGGGCCAGAGCTTGGAGCAGTTTTCCCTCAAATCCACACTCCTGCTGCCTGGCCTGCCTTCCCCTTGTCCCTTTTGAGCTTCACTGCCTCTCACAGCCCTGTTCACGCGGGAGCTCAGCTCCAGCTCAGCCAGCAAAGGCTCAGCTGGATCCTCCTGCCAGCCCCAGCTGTCCCCAAACCTTCCCACCCCTCTGCTCTCAACCTCCTGAGCCACAGCACTGGGGACAAAAACTCTGCAGCCACTGTAGGGGCAGATGAGCTGATACTGAGATGTTTTCAAGGTGTTTAACCCCTCCAAACACTGAACATTTTCAGAAGGAAGGAGACTGAATGTGTGGATGAGAACAGAACATATTGTCTGTAACTGACTGGGGTCAATCCAGCTTCCATTATTTTCATTTTGTAGATGTATAAAGGCACAAGATATTTGTTACACAGCAAGCAGAAAGAGCTGAAACCTGAATTCACTGCCAGAGCATCACAGCAGAGCTGCTCACCCACACATTATGCTGGGAATTGGGAATTTGGAAGGGTCTTTCCCCATGGAAAGGGTCTTTTTCCCCATCAAAATCATTACAGCCAAGCCTTGGACATGCTCTAAAGGGGAACTTGGAGCCTCAGCCTGCAGAATTTTAGTGGTGAACTCCCTGGGCATAACTCCTGGAAAATCCCACCTGGAGAAACAGGTCAGGAAACCTGCTGTGAAGTGCATCCATCTTCTCACGCTTTAAGTGTGCCACCTCCCTAATATTTGGGGCTTGTACTTATATTTATATATTCAGAAGGGGAGGGAGTGTGTTATTTACCTCTCCGGGTTAGTGGCAGAGGTGTAAGAGCTCTGTACAAAATCTGCCTCCAGTTTCTCCTGTGTACCTAGAAACAGCTCTCGGGGTGTTGCAATCTGCCTGGCAGCAGTTCCCTCAAAAAAATGAGATTTTAAACCAAGCAAACACAGCTGCAGTGACTCCTTGCAGGAAAATATCCCCTGGGCAACATCTATAGGGCCATATTCTACTGATTTTTGAGGGATTTTCCCTTATTACTCAGTATTTTACCATTTTTCTTCTGAATAGAAAACCTTCATCTTTATAGCCTCAGTAAGAGTGGACAGATTTGTGATAGAAATTTTAAGAAGAAACCTTCACTTTTTCAATTTTCTCTGTTTTCACTTATTTCCATTCCTCTGGCAGCAGCTCCCAATGCATAAAGAATGAGGAAGAGGCACAGCAACGAGCCAGGCAGGAGTGAAAAAATTAAAACAGCTTTATTTGCAATGATCTGCCTCAAAACACGAGACACTGACAGGTCTGGGCAGCCAGGCAAGGCAGAGAGTCAGTCTGGATATCCCTAAAAGCTCAGAGAGTCCCTAAAATCTGAGCAGGGAATCATCACCCCTGCTCCTGAGCCCTGGGGAAAGCAGGATCCCCTCTGCTGCAGGAAGGGCAAGGGACAGGGATGAGAGGAATCAGCCTTCAAGTCACCCCAGGGGAGGTTTAGATTGGATATGAGGGAAAATTTCTTCACTGAAAGAGTGGTCAGGCATTGGAGAGGATGTGCAGGACAGTGGTGGAGTCACCATCCCTGGAAGTGTCCAAAAAGGTGTGGATGTGGCATGTGGGGACGTGGCTGAGTGGTGACCATGGCAGTGCTGGGTTGATGGACAGACTCACAGAATTCACAGAATGACCAGGTTGGAAAAGCCTTAAAGATCATCGAGTCCAACCCATGCCCCAAGACCTCAAGATTTGATGATCTTGGAGGGCTTTTCCAACCTCAGTGACCCCACAATTCTCTAATCAGAGCAGGCCCTTCCCCAGAGCTCTGAACTTTGCATTACAATATTAAACACTTCCAACTCTCTCTGTTGTGGCTCTGCAGAAAATGCTCCCAAATTCTCTCCCAAAAAGCCTAAAAACACTTCATGCATCTTAAGAAGAGATGTGTGTGCAAGCAATGGAGTACCTGGAAGGCAGAGCAGTGGGGCCATCACTAGGGGGTGCCTTGGGACTCCAGAAGGATTGCCACAGCTTCTCGATGTAGTGGAACTGGAGGTGCATCACCACATCCAAAGTGGCCTGACAGCAAAGAACACCTCGGGGTGAGCACTCAGCTGGAGTGCTGCCATTCACAGTAAATAATTTACATGAAAAACAACAGAATTGGCACTGCTGTGGTAACCAATTTAACATAAAACAGGTCACACAGGGGGAAAAAAATCAATATTTGGGTTGTAATTCCTGGCAAATGAAGCATTCCCAGCTTTTTCTAAGGGTGGGATATGAGCTGGTCACTTGAGTGATGTCCCACATCAGTTAATAAAGCAATGACAAATAATCCCCAAAGAATATTGCACACAATCACCTCACAGTGCCTCCTGTAGAGAACCTGCAGGGTTTTCACGTCGTTCAAGGTGAAACCTTCTTGTAAGAGGACATTACTGAGATCAGGGGCTGGGAACTCAGGAAAGACATGGGTTACATCTGGGAAAAGAAATTGGGAAAGATGGTGAGGGTTTGGAAAGCTCAAAGTACAAGGTGCTGCTGTCACTGGAGGCTCTTTCCTGTTCCAGCTGGGATGAGACAGGAAAAATGAGATAATTTAGTCCTTTCCCCTGATTTATACTGAGAAAAAGCAAACACCCACAGCCCAGTGGATTCAGTGAGGAAAGGAAAATATTTCCTTTCTGTTTGTAATAAAAGAAATAAGAAAACATTATCCTCATCTACCATCCATTAGAATTTCCCTGAAAATGTCTCTCTGCTATTTAAGGAGTACAATGGGGAATAGAATTGGGCAGCAGAGGTGTCAGGAGCTGGGATTTGTGATGGAGACACAGATCCAGGAGCAGCAAATCCAAAAGGAGAAGCTCAGTATGATCACCTGCACTCAGATCCCCACTGCAGCCTCTGCAAGGAAGGGAATTGCTTCCCCCTCTGGCCAGGACCTCTGCTCTTCCATGGAATTTAAATAAAAGCAGATGGATTAAAAACATACTATGAGGGACCCAACAGACCCCTGAGCTCGAGGAAAAAGCCTTCCTGGGGAGACAGGAGTCAGCAGATGAACTCAGCAAGTGTGACACTACAAAAACCTACAGAACACATCCTATATATAAAAAATACATATCTGAAAAAAATAAAATGCTGTAGATTTATTAGGAAAGTCAAAACTTGCTGGATAAAACCTTCCCCTTAAAGCCCAAATCCCTGATGTGGAATAATTGATCAGCAAAGGAGTCCTCACCTATGAACTGCTGGTGGTGCTGGCACTGAGCAGCCACTGACTGCTCGGGGGTGGTGTGGGGGTTGCTGTTGGAGGCACCCTCTGCCATCCCATCCATCTTCTGGGCTGCTCTGTACCTAAATCCCATCAGAATTAGGATGGATTAGATCCACACAGACAGGAGAAAACACCTGTATGTTATTTAGAGCACAGATCTGTGAGTTCATGGAGTGGTTGGTACATTCAAGGCAAACATGTTGGTCATTTATACTGTGGACTCAAATGGAGGAGAAATGAGAAACTCCTTTAGAAATGCTCCCCCAAGACAGAATTAAAGGAGCTAAGAAGTTTGGTGACACCAAACAACCAAAAAAGAGAAGCAGAGCTGCAGTGGGTTCCAGGGCAGACTCTGTCTCAAGGACTGACTTTTGCATTTATTTTCTGTTTGGGAGCTGAAGAAATAAATTCTGCTCCTTCTGCACTTCAGCAACAACCAGAAGTGTCCGTGCTTGCAGGAGGCAATTCCAAATCCCTTTCTACACTGGGTTTTATCTTTAAAATTACTTAGGCACAAGACTAAGCATGACACTATTTAACTTGCATTTTGCATAGAAAAACATCCAAACCCCCAAAATCTACTCAAATACAGCACAAGCTCACAGGTCCTTCACACTGATTTAGCACCAGCTTCTCCATAACTGAGATCCTAAAACATTTTGGCTGCAGGGAAGCTGTGAAAGATGGCCCACAGGGTGGAACATGCCACTGGCAAGGAGAATAGGCAGATAAATCCCATTCCATGGAATTCCAGAAGAGTTTGGGTTGGAAAAGTCCTTTAAAGGCCATCTGGTCCAACCCCCTGCAGTGAGCAGGGACATCTTCCACTAAAACAGGTTGCTCCAAGTCTCATCCAACTTGGCCTTGAAGATTTCCAGGGATGGGGCATTACCTGGGATAGGTTTTGGACCCTTCCAGAGCTTGGCTCTGGTTCTTCAGCGACCTTTTCTGACCCTGAGATGGGGCAACTGAGAGGCATTTTAACAACTTTTATTCCATTTCCAGTCTCATGTGAAGGGTGAGACAATACAGATGTTGTAATTCACACCATCACAATCAGAAGTTAACTATTTCCTAATTACAATACATTATAAATGTTTTCTGGCCTATCAGCTTTAGCCACACCATGCTGTAGATGCCTTAAAGCCAATCATCTAAAATTATTCTTTGTGGGTCCTACTACAATGAATCTTTCACAGTTCTATTTCTCCAAAGTATCCAGTCTGATTTGCAAAAACACCCTTTGAAACTTGTGTCTATTTCCATTTCTCTCTCAACAATGTCTGTCCTATCCCATGGCATTTCTAAGACAGCATTTCTGATCTCAAGGTTTGCATACAGGTGCACACTGTGTGAGCCTTCTGTCAGACTCTGAGAATTCCCTACAAATCCATTTCCCAAATTTCCCCCTCTCTCTTGAACGGAAAAACTTCTTTGATGGTTTTGTTAATCCATTGCTGCGTACAGTGAAGTACGCAAGGTGCTGTCACTAACATTGTCACTATAACAATGTATATAAACTTATAACACTATAACAGTGTATATAAACTCGTAACACTATAACAATGTATATAAACTTATAACACTATAACAATGTATATAAACTTATTTTGTAAAGTTTTTCAGCTAAGGTGTAAAACTCTATCTTTTAAACAAGTTGTTTAACTACAATCTATCGTCTGTTTTAATTTGATTTGTCGAATCTCTCAATTTTTTCACCTGGTTTGAACTTCCTAAGTGGAGCCAAATCCCAGGGACCTGCTGAGTGTTTGGGAAGGGCCTGGGGGCACCTACCTTTGCTTCTGGTGGATGGGCTGCTGCCTCATGGCCATGTACTGCGTGTCCTCCTGCAGGCGGTTCAGCGGCGACTCCGGCTTCAGGCGGATCCCGTAGTAGTGATATTTGGAATTTCCCCTGGAAATATCAACTCAGTCAATGACAAAGGCATTGTGGCCCTGGTTGCTTGGACAACACACCCCACTTCGTGCAGCACACAGTTGCCAAGTTCTGTTTGAGTGGCTGAAGGGATGAATTTGATGCCTCAGGTTTGAGCTTTTCTATGTTTCAGGTTCTGTGATGCTTTAGTGTGTGGGTCTGGGCTTCATATCAGGGGATGCTGAGCTCTCTGTACAGAGCAGGGAGACAAAACAATTCCTGCTCCAGCTGGGGACCAAGGACAAGTGATCCAAATCTCAGGTCTAAGAGCACAAACAATGTGAAATAGAGAAAAACAAGCAGGATGGGACTGCCTGGGCTGGAGCTGGAATTGGACAATGAACTCCAATGTGCAAATGGAGTAGAACTGATCAAAGTGAGAGACCCCATAAGCAGTTGTGCATTTTGTGACCATTTTGGTTCATCTTGGGTGCAGCCCTGGCTGGGCTCTTGTGCTGCCCAAGGTGGATCCATTGAGGCCTTTTAATAAATCCCTGCTTTATTCTTTAACTCTGTCTAGTCCCTGTTCTAGATCAGCCTTCCCAAGGCATCAAACCACTGAAATGCCATCATCCCCTAGAAAATTTAAGCCCACATGGGGCCAAGTGCAGTGGCATCCACACTTAAACCTGGCCAGGCTTGATCCATGCATCCCATGGTGCCTAGGGAAGAGAGGAGGGAAGTGCTACAATAAAAAATGTTATTAAACAGAGTGACTGTAAGACCACAGGGGACATTTTGCTATTTGATGAGGGTTTAGGGATTTGTTTTTTCCACAAAAGCAAGTGTCCATCTTTATCCAGACTTGGATAAATTTGACTGAATGTCCCTCTATGAAAAGAAAAATGTCTTTCTGTTGCCAGCACTTCTGCAGCAACAGCACCAAGCTTTGATGTGGTTTTGTCCTTGGAGCTGCTCATTTTTATAGGTTTTGTAAAAAATGAAAGCTTTTAGCCACAGGAAGCTGGAATTCTTTCTCCTTTGCTGCTGTGGTGCTCCTTAGGAGGGTGTGATCCCTCCACATTTAGAGAGAGATGTGTCAGCTGAAGTTTTTCCACCAAACTGGAATTTTTTGGTCCCAGTGGGAGCGAGGACAGTTCTGCAGCCATGGACACGTGGTGACAGCGTGTCCAACTTGGCTTCAGCCCATTTGTCACCAAAAATGGGTGAACTGAGTCCTCAGAGGGAGAAGAGACCAAGGCAGGGAAGCACCAACAGCATCTCCAGAGCACAGAGTAGGGAGGCTTAAAATTCCTTTGCTGTGTCACTAAAACTGGGACTGGAGGCACCTTAAATCCAAGGATGCTTCCCATTGGAAAATTAAAGAAATGTAAGAGAAGTATTTATCAAATTGGGTTCTCTTTTGGGGGGAATTTGCTCTTTTCAAGGGCCCAGTTGAATTGTTGGGTCTTTGTCACTGCACCAAAGGATTTTACACACACCCCATATTCAGCCCTGTCCCAAGTGATTTAAGTGCCTGCAAATTAAATAACAGCCACCTTTATAACCTAAAATTACAATGAGTAAGAAAATAATGGGGGTCAGCTCTTTCCACAGTAATTGAGGTTCACTGTCCCCTTCCCAGCCTGCACATTTCCAATTTCCAGTGTGGTTTTTTTTTTTCCCCCGCTTGTTTATTCTTTAATCCTTGATGGGATTAAAGAATTTCTCTCCTCCAAAGAAACAACTTCAGAGCTCTTGCATTTGACCCAGTCTAGAGAAATCCAATGCTCCCCTGCTCTTCCTACAACTGTTGTCTCCACGTTCCAGCTGTGGAATGCCCTTGTCACATCTGGTTTTGTTCTCATTTAAAAGCCCAGATATTTAAGCTTGAATTTTATTATAAAATCTTCAACAATCAGAGCAGTGACGGTTTTACAAGCAATATATTACTCACTTCTTAAATATTCTAAGCTGGGATAAAGTTCACACTCAGCTGTGCTCCCTTGAAGGACATGTCTGGAATTACAGGAGTTTATTTTATCATGTTACACTTTTCTTGTAACATCTTACAGATCTTTGACAGTTTTGAAGATAAAATCCTCTTGCAAGATACCCTAATCCTTTGGGTATTTCAGAAATAAACCATTTAATAACTTTACACCTTGTCTGCATCAAAGCTGTGGGCACAGGGTCTGTCATGGGGGATCTTGTCATGGGGGCACAGGGAGAAATTGCTTCAGTGATCCAGAATTTTGTGCTCTGCAGTGGAAATTGTGAGGATGAGTCACCTCATCTTTGTCAGACAATACAGAATCCCAAAATATCCTAAATTAGAAGAGACCACAGTGGTCAGTGAGGCCCTGCACAGCCACCCCAACAATCCCACCCTGGGAGCGCTGTCCAAACGCTCCTGGAGCTCTGGCAGCCTTGGGACCATTCCCTGGAGAGCCTGGGCAGTGCCAGCACCCTTGGGGGGAAGAACCTTTCCCTGAGCTCCATCCCAACTCCCTGACACATCTCCTTGGTGCAATGAGATCCTCGTGAGATGAGAACCACTTTAGCTTCACATAAAATTTTCCCACTGGATCGAGGTCGGTTGTTCCCGGCGATCCCAGAATGTAAAAGGGTTTTAAAATCATGGGGATTTAGGGTTAACAGGAAAAATAAACACCCTAAGCACATGAAGAACTTGTACTTGCTAGAACTGCACCTGTGTAGCTAGTACATGATAAATGATATAATTGTTAGATGTGTTGATTGTTTAGTAATTAAATATAATTACTGTTTAATCATAAGAATAATCATGAGAAACTGTGATCAGGGACCTAAGAATGATCATGAGAAACTCATGTCAGTGTATACAATAGAACAATATAAGTTTAATAATTAATATGTAAGTTATATAACGATAGAATATAAAATATGTTCAGCTCGAAAGCCGTGTTGGAGTCAGATTTGGGTCTGTACCCCTGATTCCCAGAGCTCTCAATAAAAGCACCTGCATGGAATCATATCCTGTGATTCTGTGTGTTCCTGAACGCTGACAAGAAGAGAAACACCTGAACCTCCTAAAGATATTCAGCAGGTTCTGAGTGCACTAAAGATGCTGCAGGTGGGTTGCTTTTTGTTTTTTTAAGTGCAGCTTGCCACCAACCTGGTGCCCAGGCGCCGAGTCCTCAGCCCCATGAAGACGGAGCGGATGAGTTTGCCGAAGGAGGCGGCGTTGACGGGGTCCAGCTTGTGCTCCTGGCAGTGCCTCAGGTAATGGTTGTACAGGGAGCTCCGGGGCAGGCTCACTCCTTCTGCTGTCTCGTAGTTATCCAGCAGCCACTGCAGCTTCAGCCAGGGAGAAATAAAGAACATGCAAGTCTAAAAAAGGGATGGGATGTCAGGCGGGGTCGGCGCTTAAAAGGTCCGGATGGAGAAGTTCAAGAGAACTGGATAATTAATTGATGTAAGTTACTTAGTATAATTTGTAATTTATAGCACTTTATGGTATTTTATAAGGTGGCAAAAGGCAGTTTATAGGATGGAAAAAGCACCAAGCACAAACAAAACCAGTCAGATTTTTCATTAAAACACAGTTCTGCTGTCACCTCAGTGTTCACCTCGGGTTCGGATGAATTCCTGCAGAGCCAAAATAAAGCTGTAAAAATTCACATTTTCCAAGGAAAAGAGATCTTGAGATACTGCCTAAGAGAAATAAATTTTAGGGGAAGAAAATTGATGCAAGGTCTTTATTAATTGGAAGATTGGCATGTCTGCAATGGCTCCCTTAACAATAAAATTAATGGTTGCCAAAGCAACCTTCAAAATCTGAGGGAATCCATCTACTTTGCAAAATTTACTGTCTGAACTTCTGACATGGCTGTTGATTAAAATTTGCAATTAATATAAATTATTTATACCGAGATACTCTGAAAGGGCAGGTCCAGCACACGGTGTCAGCACAGGAATTCAAATGCAAAGCCCCCAATAATCTCCTTTAATTGACTAAATGACTTCAGCATCAATAAAATGAGTGTTGTAATAATTGAATTTTGGAAGGAACTGGATGCACACACAGACTAATATCAACAGGGTGGGTAAGAGCCCTTTCACTGTCATGAGGGATGTCTGGGATTAACATTTTGCAGGATTCTCTCTCCCTCCAGATCTCCTGCCCCAGAACCAGCTGCATTCCCAGCACATCAGGGCAAAACAGATTTTGGATTGTGGAAGCCAAATATCAGCCACAGCATCTCCATACAACTGAGAGTCCAAGCAATGATGGGACCTGAGCATGGATTTAGCCCAGAAATCAGTGGATTAGCCAAAGCCCGTGGGTCTGCACCCAACCCTCTCATTCCCACCACTCTCTTTTCTCCCATTTTCTCTTGGTGACACTCCAAGGTCCCAGTTCACCACAAGGCTGGAGTTTCACATCGATAATTCTCGGAAAGACACCCTGAGTTGTGTGATGGCATCTCTGGCACCTCACTGCACCGAGCTGGTCTGGTGTCCCCCCCTGCTCTCACACAGAGCCTTGCAGCCCCCTCAGGGTGAGCTCTGTGGGTCTCCTCCACACACCCACACTTCAACTGCTGCTGCACAAAGTCAGCTGGACCCAAAATTATAAACTCTACAACTAAAACTATTCCATTCAGCCTGGAGAGAAGGCTCCAGGGAGAGCTCAGAGCCCCTGGCAGGGCCTGAAGGGGCTCCAGGAGAGCTGGAGAGGGACTGGGGACAAGGCCTGGAGGGACAGGACACAGGGAATGGCTTCCCAGTGTGAAAGAGGAGATTTTTGTGGGATATTTGGAAGGAATTGTTCCCTGGGAGGGTGGGGAAGGCCTGGAGTGGAATTCCCAGAGCAGCTGTGGCTGCCCCTGGATCCCTGGCAGTGCCCAAGGCCAGGCTGGGCAGGGCTTGGAGCAGCCTGGGACAGTGGGAGGTGTCCCTGCCATGGCAGGGGTGGCACTGGATGGGCTTTGAGGTTCTTCCAACCCAACCCATTCCATGATTTGTCAGCTGGAGCTGATCCAAATCCAACCACAAATTCCTGTGGCTGCACCCATCAGTCTGGAAGGAAGAAAAACCTCCTGGCCACTTGTCCCTCTGTGCTGCTTTTCAAGAGCCTCTTCTCCTCCTCCCAGCTTCCCCCAGCTCCACACCACCCAGGACACTCCTTGAGGTGATCTCCAAACCCCACAGTTCCAAGAGATGCTTTGTTAATAATCCATAACGACCCTCCCTGCTCCCACCTGCAGCACAGACACCCCTGGAAGCCCCAAAAAAATCTTCCTGTGGCCCTGAGCCTCCTCCAGCCATTCTGTTCCCTCTAACAAAAGTGGACCCCACTGGTTTTGCCATAAAACACCAGCAGGAATTCACTTTCTAAGTTGTCCACATTTATGTTAATTTTGGCCCATCCCCTATGTTTAAGGGATTATTGCTTAAGATCCTTTCAAATTTTTAAAGCAGGTATTTTATTTATCCTATGGAAGATACTGAATGTGCATCAGCTATTTATCTTCTAAATCTTAAGCCTTAAAAAAAAATATAAAAGTTGTGTATTACTATGGAAAATCCAGATACAGATAAACCCTCTCATTTCAATTTGATTCTGGGCATTTTTATTCTCATCTCTGATATTTCTAGAAGATTCCCTTCATCTCCCAGCTTCCTTTTCCTGCAAATATCTTTTTATATTCCCTCAAACACTGCAGAGTTTCACAATATGAACTCCCACTATTGAATTAGAAATTTATTATGAACAACACAAAAGAGCTTGAAACAGAGATCTGTCAGAATAGAAATAATTTTCCAAACGTGATTTTTGTTCTTCCTTCACAACTAATAACACACTGGGCAGTTAAAATGAGAAAATTAAAAACTCTTTCCATTTGAATCTCTTCTTCTGTTTGCTTTCTGAATTTTGCTCAGCTGTGACAATGAGATATTCCCCAGTTTATTTCTGTTTATGCCATCATCAGGTTCAATAAAATCACTCTACATCCATATGCTGCTGTGGTTGTTATTGGCACTACAGGGGAACATTTAATTTTCATTTCTACCTTAACTTTATTTCTATCTGACTGTTTGGTTTCCTTTGAAAAAAACACTGGCAAAAACCTTATCCTGTTTCGATCTAAGGGTGGAAAAAGCCACTCTTGGGGCTGGCTGAGAAAATATTTTTTTTTTTTTGGAAGGTGCAGGTTTGGAGAGGTTTTCTTGTGGCCACTTCTATGAAATATAAAAAAGAAGCCATTTGTGGGTCATATTTCAGATGTTTTTAGCTGGGACCACGAGCAGCAGGTTCCTAAATTTCCACTCAGTCGAGCTCAGAGTTAGGACAGAGCCATTCACTCACAGGAAAGAATTCCAGTGGGGGTTATTTGGTGTTTTTTGTTATTTCATTTTGCAGACAATGAGGAAAAATTACATTTTCTTCCTACTCCTACTCATGCTGTGGATATCCCACTGCCACAGGGCCTCAACTGCTCCAACTTCAGGCTCTTGTGTACAAAAATTGCAGTTATTTTTCTCTGATTTCTTTGCATCATCTGCAAGATCATAACTGGCAAAGAAATAATCCCAATCCCAAAGAAATAATCTCATAAATAATGCCACTGTCAGCTGCAGTTGCACATTGCCATGGTTTCAGCAGAACCATCCTGTGTCACTGGGGCTCAGCAGGAGCTTCACCTTCCCACTGCACATCTCAAGTGCACTTAAATAACCTCTCAGGGAGCTTTGGAAGCCAAATTCAGCTCTCAAACTTCATTTCATATTGATTTTAGTTAAATTATGTGAAAAATTCCCCGTGGAATGAGATACCTTTAATTGTCCTCTTATTTTTTTTAAAACCCCAAAGATTCCTGGCATGAACCACCTGCTGATGGTAACAAAATAAACCTCATCTTCCCAAGAATTTGCACATTTCCAAAAAGCCAAATTTAAAACAAGGGACACAAGACAATGAAGAACTCTGCAACCTTAAAACTCAGAGCAGTTAAGCCACAACTAAGTGCAATTAGCATCATCTCCCCATTTCCTCTTGCTTTTGTCAAGCTGGAATTTGCTTTCAGCCTTGACAAATTGCAGTCACCTGCTCCTCCAGCACAAGCCTGCCAATCCTGTGTGCCAGCCATGGGGAATTTGGGATGGGTGAAGCTCTCCCTGCTGTTGTGGTTTTGTTCTTTGCCATGAAGAGGTGAGATCTGGAACATCCTGGAGAGCAGAATTCTCCCTTTTGTACCACAGCATGAGCTGGGCTCAGCACTGGTGGTCACTGGGATGTCCCACACCTGCACTGGGAGCCAGCTCTGGCCACCTGCAGTCTCCAGGTGGTGGCTGCTCCATCCCTGGAGCATCCCAGGCTGGGTTGAACAAAGCTCTGAGCATCCCTGGAGCATCCAAGGTGGGTAGGAGAGAGCTCTGAGCATCCCTGGAGCATCCAAGGCTGGGCTGGACAGAGCTCTGAGCATCCCTGGAGCACCCAAGGTGGGTAGGACAGAGCTCTGAGCACTCTGCTCTGGTGGAAGGTGTCCCTGCCCATGGCAGGAGGTTGGAATTAAATGAGAATGAGTTTTAAGGTCCTTTCCAACCCAAACCATCCTGGTCCAGCTTCCTGCTCACATCAGGGTGCACTTCCATGGGCTCAGATCCCTCTCTCCAGCCCAGTGCCTCGCTCAGAGGAGCCCTAAAAGAACCTCCCCATGCAGAGGCAGCGGCACTGCAGCTGCTCCAGCTCTGGAACTGCCTGAGCTGGTTCTCCCAGTGTGCTGTGTCCCCTTCAGGCACTGCTCATCCCTCTTTTTACTCCCACATGTCCCTAGACACCTCCCTGAGCAGGGACACAGGGGACAGCAAGGACCCTGGAGGGTTCCTCAGCTCAGGAGCTGCACCTTGTGCCTGAAACTGCACCTTCAGAGGGACCAGCTGAGGGTGGATGTGTCACTCAGGAAGGAGTTTGCTTGCTCCAGAGTTTGTAAGAGCACTTAAACCTTAGGCCAGACTAGGAACCATGGCCTAGAACCAGAGACATCAAATTCTGCACTTCTACCCTGCAAGCCCAGGGTGGGGAATGTCTGATCAGGGGCTGGCTGAAGCCCCCACTCCATCCTGCACAGCCTGTGGTCAGTGAAATCTCTTTTCTACCTTTTGCACTCTTTCCTCTGCCCTTTTTCTGATTTTTGTTTCCAAACTTTGTCCTCGATAAACAAGAAAAATCCTGCAGAGCAACACAATCCTTGTGCAGCACTTCAGGAGTGTGAGCCTGGCCCAGCCTGGGGTGGGAGGGATGCTCAGAAGAGAACTGCCTGATCCTGCAGGTTGTGTTTCCCCAGCTACAACCAAAACCTTCACTCTCCCCTAGCTGAAATAAAGATTGAGCTCCCCCATGAGCCCTGGCCTGGCGTTTGAAACCAGAATTAAGACTCAGACTGGTCTAAAGTTCCTTTTGCTGTCTCAGGAACAATGAAGAAGACAAAGATTTTTATTTTTTGCCCTAAGAATGACAACAAACCAGCCCCTAACCCCAGAGAAAACCTGTTAGAATAGAGAAACACCACTTTGTGCATGGGATTTGTGGGTGCAGGACATGCTTGAGCTTCATCCAAACACAGGGAAACCAAGGCAGGTCCAGGGACTCAAGCCAAATCTCACCCAAGCATGTGCTCATCCCTCAGTGTTCCTGCATGGAAGCCACAAACCAGGATGCAAAGGCCCAGCAGAACAGTGGGAATATCACACAAAGCAGGGAAATCGTTGGCAGAGTGAGAGAGAGGCCCAGCACATGGATTTAGCACAGCCTTGTGACAGGAATGGGCTTCCTGAGGCACAGAGAGAGGGAAAAAAAGGCATTCACAGGCTTTTGGTGTGTGCTGGCTGAGGGGAATCTGTCACAACTCACACCGAGTCATGGCTGTGCATTTACAAATAATTTTTCAGCCGTATTTCAGTTCCAATAAAAGGAAAAGAACTTCCTCAAATGTGTTTATCTGGCTGCCAGCAACTTCCATTGCAAGGCAGATGAAATAAATAAACCCATATTTATATTTATTATAAATAAATAAAATAACAGACTCCTGAGCATCTCAGCAGCAAACATTATCATATGGCGCTTTTTGCAGACTATTTTTCCTTGGGAATGGGCTGTTTTGGGCAGCACAGCTCAATCACAGGCTGCTTTTGAGTGCCTCCTGCTGTTGAATACACCAAAGAAATAATTCTCCTACCAAAGCAGGGGAAAAGGTTGTAAATTCTGATTGTAACTTACATGGCTGTTGAGCAAACTGCTTTTGTGTGATGTAATCCCTTCATTTTTTTGTAGGTTTTCAATCGCCATTTCAAGCTAAAGAAAAAATCGTGCACAGGAGAGAGAAAAAAAAAAAAGGAAAAAGAAAGGAAATCAGATAGTTAGCAACAGCCAGGATTATTGTTTCTTTATTAATATTTGAATGATTAATGCTTTATATCAACAAGCTTGTGAAAAAGAGGCAAACAGATGTGGATGGAGCTGCAGAGGCGTTACTGGGACATGCAAATGGACACACAGCAGGAATCCCCACAGGGGTAATAAAGCAAGGCCAGGGGGGGTTCATCTTCTACTAAAAGCATTGCCTATTTATTAAAAAAAAAGTCGTTTTCCTCCTCTTTTTCCCCTCCTGCTGAGAGCAAACCATCACCAGGCAGAGCCACTGCAGAGATTGGCTGCAGAGTTGGACCCAGGCTTTCCAAGGAGAGCTGGCAGTAATGACTTAGTTACTGTCACCTCTTCATATTTTGTCAAAAAACCTAAAAAATTAAATAATAAACCTAAAGAATTAAATAAAGCTGGGGTGCAAGGAGAGTGCATGAACTAGAATGGATGAGGGCTCTCTGCTGCCTTGTGCCTCTCCTGAACACTTCTTGTCCTCTCCACCCTGCTCCTGGGGCAGAATCTGGGAAGCTCCTTTAACAGATGGCTGCTGGTCCCAAAGCTCCAGAGCTCCTCTACGAGCTTTTTGCATGAAAAAAAAAAAAAACATCAAAACTCCCCAAACCCCACATTAGAGCCTTTCAGGAGCAGAACCTGTTTGTCTCCAGCAGATGTTCCAAACCCCTTTTGAGGTGTCCCAAACCCCCTCTGAGATGTCTCAAACCCCGTCTGAGGTGTCCCAAACCCCTTTTGAGGTGTCCCAAACCCCATCTGAGGTGTCTCAAACGCCTTTTGAGGTGTTCAAACCCTGTTTGAGGTGCCCCAAACCCTGTCTGAGGTATCCCAAACCCCTTTTGAAGTGTCCCAAACCCCTTTTGACATGTCCCAAACCCCGTTTGAGGTGTCCCAAACCCCCTTTGAGCTGTCCCAAACCCCGTTATCAGTGCCCTGGCAGGACAAGGCAGCAGAACACAGAACCTGCAGCCAGAGCTCTGCTCTCTGTCCTCATTTAACCCTTGTGGGCACACCCACAAAGCATCTGCAGATGATCTGCCCATGGCCTCCTGCCCACACTGACTCACTGACTCCCCCACAGTGGAGATTAGGGCTGAGATAAGCCCAGCCCTAACAAAGCCAGGCTCTGTCCCAGCAGGGTGGTGAGCAGAACACATCAGACCCAACTTCTGAAGTGACATGTGAAGGTGCCACCACCTCCAGCACAGTGCCTTGCTTCCCACCCCGAAGTGGAGCCACTTCTCGAGGTGTTCCCACCCCATTCAGGCTCAGATTAGTGGGGTTTCACTGCCTCACACCGTGATGGACCAGGAGGAGGCACAGCCTGAGTGCTGACACAGTTTCAGGAAATGAGTCAGAGGTGGAGGGAGACCCAATTTCCTTCCTCTGCTCAGGGGCTGTTTGAGCAGCAGAACAGAAACACTGCCTGGCCTTTTGCTGTTGGCAGGTGTCCCATCCAAAACCTTGCATCTGCAATAAAATCTATTTACAGGGGAAAGACCAAAAGCTCTTAAGCAGCTCTGCAGGAAGGTGAAGAGCTCTGAGGACCCACTTATGGGAGGTCTCAAGGATTTCCTCTCTTGGTCCAGACTAATTTAGGTGAAAATTAATAGAGCTGTGTTGGCACAGATATTGAATGTTCCCTGTGCTGTTTCAGCCCATCTGCTGGAGCAGAATATTGGTGTTCCAGCAGAGAGGGAAGATTTCCTAAGAGGTTTCTTGAAGTATCTGAAGTTTTTTTCTTTAGTGCACACACAAATTTTACCAAACATCTTTCAGCCTCCTAAAGCAGCTCTTGGACCACTGCTTGTCCTGAAGTACTCCCTTGTTTCCATTCTCCTCTGGAGGTGCCTTCTTTGCCCTCAACACCTCCAATCCCTCTCCTTCCCCACCACTGACCACTCTGAGCTTTTCTTTCCTCCCACAGAGCTCCCAATCCTGCCCCACCACATTTTGCCAGAGTCCCTCTGGCCTCTTTAACACCAGCCTTTGTTTAGGCTGGACATTAAAACAGAAAATAATGTTCCAGCCCATGGATTTGATTCAGTCCCTGCTGTCATTAAGGCACCCATCCTTTCTGGTGGGTGCCCAGAGCAGCTGTGGCTGCCCCTGGACCCCTGGAAATGTCTCAGGCCAGGCTGGACAGGGCTTGGAGCAGCCTGGGACAGTGGAAGGTGTCCCTGCCATGGCAGGGGTGGCATTGGATGGGATTTAAGGTCCCAAACCAAATGACTCCAGGATTAATTCCAAGCAGTCAAGGCTCTGCTCCACCCCACTCCAACCCTGGTCTGTGCTGGAAGGACTGACAGCCACACACAGACACAGCCCTGGGCTGCCTGCCAGGCTCTTTCCCACCTTTTCCAGCCCTTCCTCAGATATTTTGTGTTAAAATACCTTCAGAAAGCTCATTCCTACATGCAACAGAGTGAATTTATCTTAGATGTATTTCCATAAAGGTCGCTTTCTAAAGTTTTTTTTTTTTTTTTTTTTTTGTTTTTTTTTTTTTTTTGCTGAACAGCCTTATCTCATGTAATAACCACCAACTAAATCCATTCATGGGCTATTTCTACTGACATATTTTCCACTTGGGCTTTTATATTGTGCTCATCACCATGGAAATTACAAAACCCCAAACAATAACAACAAAAAAATCCCCCGAAAATCCAAGAGTGAAGTTGTGCAGTTTTGTAAGATGCAGTCCCACACAGGTGATGCTTCCAAATAACAACTTTGAGCAAAAACCAAATGGTCCAGTGCTAATTTTTAACTATGAACAGTTAAAATACACACACACACACAATTCTCACCCAAGAAAAGAACCTCAGCATCTGTCATTTTCTCTTCCACCCAAACCAAGGATTTTCCCCTGTGCCTACCCAAGGCAGAGCACAGTTACTACACAATCAAAGCAACCTTTCAAGGCACAAAGATTCAAAAAACATAAAGTCTATATTCTAAAACTCAGTGGGAAAAGAAAGTACAACTTAACAGGACAGATTTCCATGAGTTCTCAGTAGCAACAGCTCCTGTTTTTCTCCCTAGTGATGCTGCTCACATTTTAAATTCTGGCTACATCCCCTGAATTACACCTACACTAGTATTTATATTTATATATGAATGCATAAACACACAGAAGTCTGCAGAGGGAGGTGAGCAGTGTCCCAGGAAATGAGCTCCAAGCACTCCTGGCAGCTGCTAAGGGCTGGGAGATTCCCAAATCAAAGCCCTGGTGCTTCTTTCTGCAAAAAGGCTGTTTTGGGTGACGAGCTGTAAGCCCTCAGTCCCACACAGCTGTGCTCCCAGCACCTGCCACCTCAGCTGGCAGCTGGAGGGACACGATTTAAAGAAATTAGAACTTTTAAACATTTCTGTTTGATCAGTATTACCCTAAAAGACATTTTCTAAACATATGGCAAGGACAGAATACACAATGGTGTAGGAGATATATACACAAAGGCTTTTTGATCACTGTGCACTCAGCATGATCAGCTTGACATAACTTGTGTGCTAATTGCCCAATGGGTTAAGGAAGAATTTCTCAGGTCTCTTCATAATTAAAGATATATTTCAATATTTTGGGTAAGCATGTGTGACATGTTTGACTTATCAGAAAATATAAATAGAGACAAATTCACATTAGAAAATGTAAACACAGACAAATCTTTAAAAGCCAAAAATATTTTGTTTGGTAAGGGAAAAAACCAAATCAAATGGTTTATTAATATGCTGGTTTATGGTTTATCAAATGATTAATGGTTTATCAATGCTTTATTAATATTTGAATGATTAATGCTTTTTCTTCTCTAATGCTGCATAATTTCAGTGATTTGCTGAGCGAGAGGGACAATCCAAACTGAAAAATAATTGTGGTACACCAGTGTCTATTCTCTCCCTTGCACCAAGGCAGGTTACAGACATAAACAGTGATAATGACAGGTCAGTTTAAGTTTCTGAAGGCTTTTCAGTTCCCTTTGGAATCATTCCTGGCCCCCGAGCCGTGGTGCCTGCAGGGCTACATACCGTTGCTGGAGAGGAGCGTGAGGTGTGTGACAGAGAATGTCTAGAGTTCTCCAGCCCCCCATGAATGAGATAGGCTCCCGAGCCGGAGAGGATCTGACTTCCCCCAATGTCCATGGTGATGCCCACCATGTTGTGAGAGGGAATGGCTGTAGGAGAGGATGTCGCTGTAGTCACCTGAGCTCCACCTCCTCCCTGCGCTTCGAAATAGGGCGCGGCGCCGGCGGGGGCGTAAATCTGCGCCTCGCTGCTGTAGGAGTAGGCAGCTCGTCTGTGCAGGGGACAAAAGAGAGGAGCTGACACAGGGAATCCTGTGTTGGACAGCTTCAGGAAGCTGGGGAAGTGTCAGGAAACCCCCGGTGTTATAGGTTGGCCCTTGTGTTCGCCACCGAGAAGATGATTCTTCTCGTTCGCAGCCCCGTAGGTATGGTAAGGTGGGAAGAGGAAAGCCATACCACACCCCCATCATTCCTCAGGTGTCTCTTAATCCTACACAGACTAAAGAGCAAGACCAAATTGGCCTCTGTAATCCCATTTTGTACGTTTCCAAATAGAATTTTTCCTGTTCCCACTGTAAGATTATAGCCCTGCTGCAGGTGGCAACTTCATAGGTATGGTAAGGTGGGAACAAGAAAGCCACAAAGCTCATCTGTGCAGGGGACAAAAAGAGGAGCTGGCACAGGGAATCCTGTGTTGGACAGCTTCAGAAAGCTGGATAAGTGTTAGAAAACCCCTGGTGTTACAGGTTAGCCCCTGTGAGATTATAGCCCTGTTGCAGGTGGCAGCCCCTTAGGTATGGTAAGATGGGAACAAGAAACCCATACCACACCTCCATCATTCCTCAGATGTCTCTTAGTCCAACAGACTAAAGAGCAAAACTCAATTGGCCTCTGCAATCCCATTTTTTCCATTTCCAAATAGGATTTTTCCTGTTCCCACTGTAAGATTACAGCCCTGCTGCGGGTGGCAACCCCATAGGCATAGGAAACCACCCTCACCCCCACCACAACACCTGAAACACCTCCTCCTCCTCTTCCTTCCATGGTGGGGCTGGGGAGGAAGGAGCCTGGGGGAGGGAAGGGCTGGGAGGAGGGATGGGGACAGCTCAGAGAGGTTCTTACATGGTTCCATTGGTGTAAACAGCTTCTCCTCCTTCCACATACTGCACCTGGGCTGGATAAATGTGCTGCACAGACTGCACCTGCAACAGGCAGCAAGAAGTCAGGGATTGCTCAGGAGCTGCTGGTTAAACTGCACAGCTCTAACCTTGCCTGGACACTCAGGCTTTCTTTAAAAAAAAAAATTAAAAAAAAATAAAACACCCTCCCTGCTCCCCCCTCCCCTGCCCGTCCATGCTTAGGAACACCAAAGGAGGTTTTTATTTTCAAAGGTCAAGTTAAAATAGATAAATAAGTGGCTGCTCCATGAGAAGTGGAACAATGGAGCTGGGTTTTCTCTGGACATGTATTTTGGGGCTGACTAATAGGGGTGAGCTCACGCTGCAGCCTTTCCTTCAGAGGGGAGCCTGGCAGTGTCCAACTGCACCCCAGCCCCCTTTTTGTTGCCCTGGGAGGGAAGGAGTTGCCCTCTATCAAATTGTTTTCCCCCTGAAATGGAGCCACCAAACAAAAAATCACTAAAGGGAAAAAATTAAGAAGGTCAGACTCGCTGTCCACATGGAGCAGCAGCACATATCCCTGGTTTCTTAGGAAACAAGCCCTGGAAAAGGCAAAGTTCAAATAAATAAAAACACTTGCACGGCTCTCTGGCACCAAACCTTTCTATGGAGCCACGTGCAGGCAGTAAATTTGTTTAATTAAAGAAAAAAACCCCAAACATTTTGCCTCTAAAAAACATCTTTACTAAAGATCTTTAATTTAACTTTGATTTAATAAATGCTTTTAAATTTAAGTTGAAAGCATCCATCAAATATTTAAATACATGAAAGACAACTGCTACAACAAAGGTTCTTCCTAAACTTTAAATATCTTGAGAGTTTCTTTTGTCATCAGTCTAAGAAAGGAGGAGAGAGCTGGAGAAAGTGATCCCAGCTCTGTGACTGCCCACAAGTCTTTAATTAAGATTTTTCTGGATCTGGCAGGTTCAGAAGTGAGCCTGGGGAGCTGCTGGTGCAGGGGTGTCTGTCCCAGCGCTCATTACCTGCTGTGGAACCTGCTGGACTCTGGGAACAGAGATTTGCTGCATCTGAGCCCCTTTGGGAGCGGAGCCTGTGGCTTGGACCAAAACCCTCTGCAAGAAGAAGATACAGGAGGAGACAATTTCAGTGCATAACACAGGTGAGCCAGGTGTTCTCTTCCAAAATTTCACGGCCAACTTGCCTCTGACACCAGCAGCAGCAGTGACATCCTGTAATTAGTGGTCCCCACCCTCCTGTGGGGTGCACCAGCCTGAACTCAGCCCCCTGAATTTGGGCTAATTTCTGACAGGAATCATCTTTAAACCTCCATGAAAGGAAGCAGCAATTCATTGATAAGCTCAGCCACGGCTGAGCAAGAATCACTCCTCACACATCCAGATTTGGCTGCAAAGCTCCTTCTCTTAGAGCTGCTAAAGCCAACCACACTCTGCCTCCTGCAACAAGGAATCCCACCCAGCTTCTGCCAGCACCGAAGCTCAGGTGGTTCTGCTTCTCCCTGCAGGGCCACCAAGGGCACAGGGACACTTTGTGGTGGTGGCTCTGTCACTTCCATCATCCCTGTCTTACACTCCACTTTCAGTCTGAGGTTGTCAGAACATCTCAGAGTGCTCAGCACCTTCAGATCCAGCAAAACAAACGTGGGGATGTGGTGGATGGAGAGAAGGGATTCAGTGGGAGCAGAGCCGAGCATCTCCATGGCCTCTTAAACCTTCTTCAAGGAGACACATCTTTTAAAAACACCCAGGAGATTAGGCCAACAGAACAAAGAGCCAGAAAACAATCCCAGAAGCAACCTTGATAATTACTGCCTGCCTTATACATGGATATTTATGATTTTTAGCCCTCCTAACAAACCTATATAACAACCAGAAATCCAGTTCTAGCAGAATTATAGGTTTATGACAATTGCCCAGATCTCCAGGCAGCTGCTCCATCTGCAGTCCCCAGGCTGCATTCCCTGGAGACCCTGCACTGAGGACACCCACACTTATTTCAGCCATCACCTGGCCTGTTTTCCCTCCAGAAGGGGCTGTCACCAGTGCAGGATGGGGACAGCACAAGCCTTTTTTGAAATCAGACCTTGGCAGTGCCACCTACATCAAAGACTCTTTCCTTTCTCCTACTGATTTCCAATTTTCTGGCATGGCTTTTTCCAGATGCCACACTCCTGGCCCAGCTCAGCTCCTCACTGCCTGTCCAGGTGCTGTTATCTTCCAGCCAAGATAAGGAATCATCCCCAACCTGGAAGGTGAGGCCATCCTGCTCAAACCAAAAGTGCTCACACCATTCCTGCTGGCTGCAGCTCATTCCAGTGCTTTCTTTGTCCTGCTGCTGAGAAGGAAGGCTCTGGATGCTCCTCCTCTTCAGCAGTCTTCCACTATCCCCTGGATTTTCCTTAGTCCATGGAGTTCCACTTGGTGCTCCAGCACAGGCAAAGGCTGGATGTGTGATTTCATAATCCAAAGGTTTTCCAGCCTTTGTTCACAGCCAAATCCACACTGTGATCCCCAGGACACCTGGCACTGCTGTCCCCATCCCTGCCACGCCAGCAGGGAAGGCTGTCCGTGGATGGGAAGGCTGGGAGGTGACACCAGCACTCTGGATCACCCCATGGGAATGTCCATGGCTCCTGGAGAGTCAAATATTCCTTCCAATTCCCAATCTTTATTTGTTCCTTTTCATCAGCATCAAGTGGCAGTGCTGCTGCTCACTTGGGAGTTGAAGGATGAAGCTGAGTTACACCCACCCATCCTCTTATCCCTCCAGCTTCCTGAGGCAGAAATTTCTTTTGCAAGTTCCCCAAAAGGCATAAAAAGGAAGAAAGAGGAACCAGTTTCACTTAACCCTTCCCATTTTGCATTGGGTGGTTCCTGTTCATCACTTGAAGCCATCACTTGTCTTCTGCTGGGCCTCCCAAATGCAGCAAATTCATGGGCATTAATCATAAACCCTCCTCTGCAAATTAAAATGTTGGGATCTGCCTACCCAAGGAAGAGACTATGGAATGGTTTGGGTTGGGAGGGACATTAAAGCTCATCCAGTGCCACCCCTGCCATGGCAGGGACACCTTCCACTGTCCCAGGTGCTCCAAGCCCTGTCCAGCCTGGCCTTGGGCACTGCCAGGGATCCAGGGTGGGCACCCTGTGCCAGGGCCTGCCCACCCTGCCAGGGAACAATTCCTGCCCAATCTCCCATCCAGCCCTGCCCTCTGGCAGTGGGAGCCATTCCCTGTGTCCTGTCCCTCCAGGCCTTGTCCCCAGTCCCTCTCCAGCTCTCCTGGAGCCCCTTCAGGCCCTGCCAGGGGCTCTGAGCTCTCCCTGGAGCTTCTCCTCTCCAGGGGAGCACCCCCAGCTCTCCCAGCCTGGTTCCTGAGCAGCCCTTGCAGCATCTCTGTGGCTCCTCTGGACCTGCCTAAAGCTGTCCTTGCCCTTCTTGTGCTGAGGACTCAAATGTGGCCCCAGCAGCGCAGGGGGAGGCCAGGAGGGCAGAGCAGAGGAGGAGAATCCCCTCCCTGAGCTGTGGCTGCAGCTCTGCCCTCACCTCTCAGGTACCCAGCAGCACTGTTCCATCCTCCCCTGCTCTTACTGACACCCCAAACCATGACAACGGAAATTCACCCCAAACAAACACTCATCTGGCACAAAGTGACTCCTTTGGGGACCTAAATTAAACCCCAAACACTTTTAAAGCTTGCAGATGCATTGGGAGCACTCAAACCCACAGGCCCAACACCTTTATCAACAGGTTGTCCCTACTACCTCCACGAGCTGATTAAAAACCCTCTCCCCACTATCAAAAACTGGGATTAAAATATATCTGCCAGGGAAAAAAGGGCTCTTCTCCATGGAAACAGCATCCCCAGCTGTGCATACGTTACCTGCTGCGAGGCTGGCACTGGCTGCACCACTGGTGCCTGCGCTGGGGCCGACGTGTGAAGAGCCACAGAAGCTGCTGAGTCTGATCCACCCTCTGGACTCTGCATGCTCACTGCTGGGGACAGCACAGGGACATCAGAGGGGACAGCACAGCACAGCCACACACCCCCCCAACCTTCCAACCGAGGGTAAAATCCCAGTGGAATATCCAGAGGGAAGCGCTGGGAAGGGAGGCAGCTCCCGTCCTACACACAGGGCTCCTTTTAGTGCCTGCAGCTAATTTTAATGAAGAATTATGTGAAGGAAAAAGAAAGTTGCACAATTGTTACATGGAGAGGAGAGGGAAGGAACAGAAAATGCACTTCTATATTTAACTGAAAAGTGGTGTTGGAAAATTATTGTGTCACAGTGAGCATCACACATGATTGGGAAGAGTAGGGGCATATTTTTAAAATAATGCTTTCTCCCCCTTCTGCCTTATCATGTTTAACTACTACCAAAAAAAGCTTTTTTTCAAACCTAAATTTCACTGGGAAGGTGGGGTGGCCAGCTTGGGTTTATAACCAGAAAAAAAATCAAGGATGAAGAGCACAAGAACAGCAATCATCATCATTTTAGAAGCCCTGAAGCAGCATCTCCACCTTCCCAAAAGCAGCATCTCCACCCTCCCATCCCTGGCCTTGCTCCAAAACCCCACCAAGGTCCCCAGACAGCCACAGCATCACCCTCCAGTGCCACACAACCCTGCAGAGCTGATGGTGCCCTCAGCATCCTCAAATCCGAGTCACAGCCCTGCAGAGCTGATGGTGCCCTCAGCATCCTCAAATCCGAGTCCCACTCTCCCTCCTGGCACTGTCCCAGCCCTGGGGACACCAGGGGACGCTGAGACAGCACAAAATGGCATTTTGAGGGTTTTTTTGGGGTGGGGGAGCCTTTTTTCCTCATTTTCTTGTGAAATTTCCTGCTTAATAAACTATTTTAGGAGGGTTTCTGCTGTCACTTCAAAATCAAAAGGTTAAAAACATCCAGATTTTGGGCAGTGTCATTTCTGCTTTCTTGGTCTCACTGCTGAACCTCTAAACAACATTATGATGGCTTTTATTTGCCTTCTCCTGCCAGTATTTAAACTTTTCCCTCACCTTTGTGCAAGTGAAGAGAAAAAAGGAAAAAAGAGAGATTGAAAGACACTGGACCTGTTCGTTTGTATTCAAAAGAAATGCAAGGGGGGTGTGAAGTTAAAGAATTTACCTGTTTATTCCTTCAGCCACCAACAAACCTCCCCAAACATTAAAATTCTCCAAAACCCAGGTTTTTAAGGTTTTTTTTTTCCTCAATACTCCATACTCCCATTAGCAAGTTACAATTACTCTCCCAACCTTCCCAAAACCCCAGAGCTTGCAAATCATTTTTCTCACATCTGGGTGAAAAAGTAGATACAGAACCCACACAGTCACAGCTACCAGATGAATCTAATGAGCCAGAAACAATGGAAATTAAATCAATATTTATTCCTGTGTCCCCCCAGGCCCCTCCAGCTGCCCTCAGCACCCCCATCCCTGCAGCTCTGCTATAAAAAGGCAGCACCTGCCTCTCCCCATCACTGCCTCTGCCTGGGCTTTAGCCAAAACCTCCCTGTGAGAAGATTCCAGTGGCAACAGCGCCGTGGGATCAGGAAAATAAGAATTCTCCCAGTAAATTCCATCTCCTTGCCTGCTCCAGCCCCAAATTATTTGCAATTAAACACTCAGGCAGCACTGCTGGGTTTGGAATGCTCAGGTGGAGATGCTGGGCAGGACAGGGGAGCACTTTTACCACATCTACTCCCCTAACTTTTCCAAAAGTGTTTATTTTCTGTCTCTTGTGCCCTGGGCTTTGGTTTGCAGCTCCCCAGGGTTTTCTGAGTAGTATGGTGAGGTTACAGAAGAGAGATGGGTGAGTTGATAAAGCTATTTTAATAATCTATTAATGGTTCTGGTAGGGTCAGCTCTTGGCATTTTAGGTCTACCAAAGGTCTTCTTTGAAGTGTAGCTATAATCAGAAAAGAACACTTAGAAGAGATGGAGTTGGACTTTGATGATCCTTGTAGGTCCCTGCCAACCCAGAATATTCCATGATTCTATTATTCAAATCACCAACAACTCATCTCTGCTGATCCATTTTGTCTCCTGCTTTTCCTCAGTGGCCAGAAGGGAGCAGAGAGATGTGGGCAGGGTGGAAGGGGAATTGTCTGTTGCCAAAATAAATGCCCAGTGTGATTTTCAGGTTTGTCCCACGAGGCAGTGATGACAGCCATGCCAGACACAAAGGCTCCCAGGAAATCTGCAGGTGCTGTGGGAATCCAGGGCTTCCCTCTGGCTGCCCTGGCTGCCCTGGGACCCTGGCAGGGGTCAGGAACCCCCCTGGACAGAGCCCCCACAGACACTGGCTGTGATCTCTGTCCATGGAAAAGAGTTTTCAATCTTACAGGATGAATTACCAGCTCTGAGTGTTTGATATGAGTAATAATTAAGTGTGGCACGGGTGCAAAAGTAAAATTTTAGGATTCTAGATTAGGGGTCCAAAGGTGACAAGAAGGAGGAAATTGGGTGTGTCTTGTCCTTTTTCTCCTTCTTCATGCCCTCCATGTTTCACTGTGGTGTTGGCATTTTTCTGTTGGTTTAGGCTGGGGACACACTGTCCAACGTAGGTGACAGATATTGGCACGTTATTGTAAATCCAGCACAGGTAGTTTGTGGTATTTAATGTTTGTACCATCCCACTGAGGGCAGAGCCCCACACGCTGCCCTGCAGGACAGAGCTGCGGCAGGGCAGCAGAACGTGTTAGAGATAAACAGAATAAACAACCTTGGAACAGCACAGATGAATTATGGCTTCTGCTTTGGCAGTGGGGCTGAAACACAGAGACTTTCTACAATCTGGGAATCATCAATACCACAGATTCCACCAGGAGGCACTTCCAGACAAGGTAGACAGAAAGAGAAGTCCTGGGCTGCCAAGCCACAAGTACAGGACTTGTTATTACTTTATTTATCAGTGCAACATCCTGGAGAAAGAATAATTCCCTTCTCATTAAAGCCATCCTGCGCTTCCTGAGAATGGGATTCAGATCCGTGTGTGCCATCTGCTCTGGGTAATTTGTGCCGATGAAAAGCTGACAGCACACACAGAATTCCTGTGCTCCCAGAAACCAGCACGAGGTGCTGCAGAGCTCTGCTGATGCCCGGGCAGCACGGCTGCCAAGCCAGCTGGCACCTGAGCCAAAGCTCCAGAGGGCGGAGAAAACATTGGCGTCCAAGAAGGAGAGGAAATGTGGCACCCAAATTGCTCTTTGCCCTTCTCCACATTTTTTATTTTTTAAGAACAGGTCACATAAATCAGAGGTGGGACTGGCATGGTTGGTACTCATGGGGTATTCACAGAATTCACAGAATCACTGGGCTGGAAGAGACCTCCAAAGATCATCGAGTCCAGCCCAGCCCCAACACCTCAACTGAACCCTGGCACCCAGAGCCACATCCAGGCTTTGTTAAACACATCCAGGATGGTGACTCCACCACCTCCCTGGGCAGCCATTCCAGAACTTTATCACCCTTTCTGGAAAAGAGTTTTTCCAAATATCCAACCTATATTTCCTTTGGCACAGCTTGAGGCTGTGCCCTCTGGTTCTGTCAGTTCCTGGAGAAAGAGCCCAACCCCACCTGAGCACAGTCACCTTTCAGGTGTACCTGAAACCTTTCCACCTTTCAGAGAGTTGTAGAGAGCGATTTAAGTCTTGTATTTCCATCATAGATTGGTTTGGATTGGAAGGGGCCTTAAAGCTCATCCCATTCACCCCCTGCCATGGGCAGAGACCCCTCCCACCATCCCAGGGGGGCTCCCAGCCCTGCCCAGCCTGGCCTTGGGCACTGCCAGGGATCCAGGGGCAGCCACAGCTGCTCTGGGCACCCTGTGCCAGGGCCTGCCCACCCTCACAGCCAGCAATTCCTTTTTCATTTTGGATTTTTAATCCAAATCTGCCCTCCTTCACCTTAAAGCCATTCCCCTTGTCCTGTCACTGCATGGCTTTATGAAAAGTCCCTCTGCATCTCTTTCATAGGCACCTTTTGGGCACTAAAAAGCTGCTACAAGGTCTCCTTACACTGGATTTATTCAGTGCCACTGTGAGAGCAACCAAGGCCAGTTCTGGCATCAGCCCCTCCTTCCCCAGGCTCTTTTGGGGTGCAGGGGATGCTGCTCCGTCCCCTCCTCAGCACTTGAAGTGATGATGGTTGGACTCAATGATCTTTAAAGGTCTTTTCCAGCTGAAATGGTTCTATAAATACATCCTTCAGGCATCAAAAATCTGATTTAACATTGCCTGCACCTCTAGGCAGTCATTTTTCTGTTGGATTTTTATGCCCCACATTTAAAGCCCCTTTGAGAAGAACTTGTTAAGCCCATTTATGAATGGCAAGGACAGGGGCAGTGGATTTCTTACCCATGGAGGTAATAACACCCACCAAGGTTTACTGGGGAGCTTAAATATAAGTAGCTATAAAAAAACCCACAACTTTATCCCAGAGGTCAAATAATTAATTGTTCTTAAGACTAACAAAAAAAACTCACTGAGGATATTTTCCTTTCCCTCATTTATATCCCAGTATTATATTCTATTTCAAAGGTCCTGCCAGAAATAAAAGGATGCAATAAAGGAATTTTATCCTTGAAGGATCTCCCCTCGCTGCATCCTCCTTTCCCCCCACTCCCCCTGCAAATTTAACATAGAAAATATTTTGAAATGTCCCTCTTATCTCTGTTTCCCCAGCGTTTTGGAGCAGCTTTAGGCAGGAGAGATGAACAAAGGCGAGGCCATTTACATGGAGGCAAGGCTGCCTTATGAATGAAACATAGTTCATATTGTTTCCACGCTTACCAAAAACTGTTAAAAGCAGGCATGTAAGAAGAAATAATTGCAGGATTTTTTTGGGTTTGTTTTTTTTTTTCATAGCTTGCTCTAGTCAGCTTAGGGGATGGAGAATTCCATCAGCCAACAAGGGCAAAATCCACCCTAACCCCTAAGGAAAGTCTCATGTGTGACAGAGCCAGAATCCCATCCCATTTATTTTGATTTAATCT